TTTCCCTCTATACTACTTCACTTGGTGATCTCATCAGCTCCCGTGGATTCAATTGTCATCTTTATGGTGATGATTCTCAAATCCATCTCTTTTGATCCAATTTCCCTTCTGACTTCCAATCTTGTAACTCCACCTGCCTTTCAGATTTCTCAAACTGAATGTCTCGTAGATATCTTAAACTCAACATATCCAAAACTAAACTCATTCTCTCTCCCCTCAATCCTTCTCTAGCTCCAAATATTCTTATTATCATCAACCACACCTGCTTCCAGTCCCTGAGCCTCACATCCTAAGTGTCATTCTCAACTCCTCATTATCTCTTACCACCCATATCCAATCTGTTGGCAAGGTCTATCAAGTTCACCTTTGGAACATCTCTCAAATATGCCCCCTTGTCTCCTTTAGCACTGTCACCACTCTAGTGCAGGCCTTCATCACCTCATGCTTAGACTATTACAATAGCATACTGGATTCCTACTGCAATCCATTCTCTGGATTACCAAATGATTTTCCTAAAGTGCAGGTCCAACTAACTATGTCACCCCCTTCCCCAATAATCTCCAGTGGTTCCCTATCATCTCCACGATCAAACAAAAAAACCTCAGTCTGGCTTTCAAAGACCTTTATAACCTAGGCTTCTACCCCTAACCTTTCCAATCTTCTCACACCTTACTCCCCACCACATATTCTTTGATCCAATGACACTTGGTGTCCTTGCTGTTCCATAAACAAGAACTATACTCCAGGCATTTTCTCCACCTGTTCCCCACACCTGAAATACTCTCCTTACTCATCTCTGTCTTCTGACTTCCCTGACTTCAAGTCCCAACTAAAATCTCATCTTCCACAAGAAGCTTTTCCTAATCCCTCTTGGGTGAGAAAGCCTCTTAATTCTAGTGCTTTCTCTTTGCTAATGATTTCCTATTTTTTCTGCATATTGTACATAGTTGTTTTCTTGTTGTCTCCCGCATTAAATTTTAAACTCATTTAGGGCGGGGACTGTCTTTTGTCTTGTTTTGCAACCCAAGCACTTAGCACAGTGCCTGGTGCTTACTAGACACTTAATAGATGTTTATTGATTAACTGAAGATTAACATCTTTCTGGTGTTATCTCTCTGTAACCATGTCTATCCAAAAGTGTGTATCTCTACTCCCAACTGGATGTACTCTTTCCTACTGGAACAGTAGAAGTGATGACATGGCTAACTGGAGAAAGAGGGAAAGGTAATGAAGTCTTCCCCTCCCCCACCTAGGTCTCACCTTACAAACTGCTCCTGAGCCTAGACTTCAAAATGCCAGAATGAATTGCTTCTTCTATATATAGTCCCAAGGGATGACTGATCCTCTCAATGATCCTCTCAACCAATAAAACTAGTGTTTCATTTCATAAAAAATAGTGTCAGTTGCCTTCATCTAATGAGCAAGTCCCCAAAATCCTCTCAAGTTGATTAAAAAACAATCACAAATTGTTTTGGGGGGGCAGCTAGATGGCGCAGTGGATAGAGCACTGGCCTTGGAGTAGGGAGGACCTGAGTTCAAATATGGCCTCAGATACTTGACACTCACTAGCTGTGTGACCCTGGACAAGTCACTTAACCGCGACTGCCTCACCAAAAATAAAAAAAAGATGTATTAACAAGTTTGTTTTGGAGTTGTAGAAAAACTCCTTAATAACTGCCTTTGTACTTTGTGATTATATTCTAGACCTTCAGGGATCATATCAGCTGAGGTAAGAAGAGAAACACCCTCCCTTATAAAAGAGGAAAATGAAATGGGGGGTGGAGGGAACTGAATCACTTAAATTGGTTAGTGGCACACTAATTTAAAAAAAATCATATTCCTTTAAAGATGCTTCAATACTGTAATACATCTAGGATGTCATCAATGTTACTATTTCCTTCTGATAATGCAGATGCAACCCATTCATATATTCCTATCCTTTGTATCTCTCATCTAGATCTTCCCATAAATCTACTACAAGTAGTCCTCCCAATGGACCAGTGGCCTTCTCCTCATTTCCTTGATACTTCAGAGTCTTTGCGTTGGCCATTCCCTATCACTGGAAGATACTCTTCTCAGATATTCTTAGTAGACTTCCGTTCATTTTTCAAGATTCAACTCAAACACTGCATTTATCATGAAGCCTTTCTTGATCTTCTCACCTGCTAATGTCCTCTCTCCTTATCATGTATTTAAGTTTTTTGTATTTAATCTATTTATATTTATTCTGTACGTATTAATATATGTACTCATATCCCCTGTTGGAATGTAAACTTCTTAAGGACGTAGATTCTTTCATTCTTTTTATTTCAATCCCCGGTGCCTGGTAAATAGCAAGTTCTTCATAAATAAGTGATTGGTACCAATGGAGAACATCCAAAAAGATGTCCTCAAGTTATTCCTTACTCTTGTTACAGGACTAAACCATTTGGTGAGGGGAAGGTAATGGAAAGGTTGGTGTTTTAGTGATATCAGTTTGGCAACTCTGTGCAAGAGAACTCAAAATCAAATTCATGAAGGCATATCATTTTCAAGCTTCTAAATTATAAGGACAAAGAGATAATGCTATGAGCAGCCAAGAAAAAAGTATCATCATTAAATCACATTTAACACAGCTCCTATAAAAATAAGAAATGGCACAAGCTTGAATAGGCTATGTCCAAAGTTAAGAAATATGACTTGATGTTCAAATTGTTTTCAGCAGAATTGTACATGCTTTTCAATGACAGAAGATGGACGTTTAAAACTAGGGTGACAGCACAATTTCTGCTGAGAAGAAAAGCTCAATCTCAGAGAAACTTTTAAAAGGCTTTCAAAAAAACAGCAATTCATCCAAGTATAGGAACAAAGAGTTCTCAAAAGAACTCTTTGGGTTGTTCTAAATCACTAATAGTAAGAATAAGGAAAGTCAAACATCTCTAGGGTTTCACTTAATGCCCAGTAAACTGGCAAAGATAATGAAAGACAAACCAATGTGGGAGGGGCTATGTGAAGGCAGGCAAACTATTGGTGAACTTTGTAACTGGCCCAACCATTCTGGAAAACAAATTGGACTTATGTGAGAAAAGTTAATTAATTCTTTATAACTTTCCACCCAAAGATCTTACTCTTGGGAATAAAAACCTCGAAGTAGTAAGCCCAACTCGAGCCAGTCCCTTGGTAGTTTAGTTTGATTCTGTAACAAAATGAGACACTCACAGGTTATTGATCAGATTTATTTAACAATAGCAGAATAGGAATATTCAGTGAGAATACAAATTGAGAATCCTTTGGGTGGATTGAGCTGGATGAACTTCTCATCATCATCCACTGGCCAAGCATCTTAGCTCTTCTGACTCCTTGTGGCTGCTTCACACCCAGGTGTGGAGGGAGTGTTATCAACGGTCTGAGTTCTTAGTCCCCTGAGCCAACCAAGTCTCAGGGAATGTCTCAGTACCTTTTAGGCTACCCCAATAAAGCCTGTATGAAGAGAAGTGTTAAGCTAATGCTCCTACCAGAGAAGACAAGGTGTCAAATATACCAAACAATAGGTATTACCACATTTCTTTTTAGGCAACTGGGGTTAAGTGACTTGCCCGAGGTCACGAAACTAGTAAGTGTCAAGTGTTTGGTCTGAGGCCAGATTTGCACTCAGGTCCTTCTGACTTCAGGGCCGGTGCTCTATCCACTGCACCACCTAGCTACCCCTGTGTATTACCACTTTTTGTGACAGCAAAGTATTAGAATCAAAGCTGGCATCCATTGATTTGGGAATATCTGAAAAAAATATTCAATGTGCATAAGATATATTGTAATAAAAAGACTAAACAAATAATTCTGAGAAATATAAAAGACATGAACTAAGGCAGAACAAAGTAAGCAGAATCAGGGAAACAAGATATACTATGATTACAATGTAAATCAAAGGAAGAAATGAGGAAATATAGCCTCCTCTCTCCCTTTAAATGAATAAGTATGGAATGTCACCCATGCTTTCACATAAAACTGGTTCATTTTGCTTAACTGTTTTTGTTTGTTTCAGAGGAAGTCTAAGGGAGAAAGGAGCCTGACAGGAAGAGGATATAACCAGAAATTACTCTAATGTAAAAAAGCAAAAGGTATCAATAAAAGGGTTTTTTAAGGACTCCTCCTACTTTAAAAAAATGTAAGTGTGATTGGGTTTTATGTAGAATTTAAGATAAGAATACATTAATTATACATATATGTGCATGGGCGCACACCCACCCACACACACACACACACACACACACACACACACACACACACACAAACCCTCCTATGAAGTTTCTCTAAAGGTAAATCTTTCAGAGGACTAATTAAACAATGCTAAAAAAATTCTCTTTTATACAAGTTTTAAAATAATTATAGTTAAGAATTATTGCAGTTTATTGCAATTTATTTATCAACAACAAAAGAATAAAGTTGTATGTGCATAAATCCATTTCATATTATTTTAATCCCATTCAATCCATTACCCCCATTTACTTTTTCTGTTTCCATGTTGAAGTTAAGAAAGAAATAAAAAGAGCCAAATCTTCCAACAAATTTGCCTCAAATTCTAGGAAAAGGATAAGGATATACATATATCAGGACAAAAAAAAACAGTTGGGAACATATTACCTTGTGATACTTATTTAACCTCTCCAATGTGCATGAATTTCCTCACAACTACGGATAAAGGGGCTCCTTTGATCCGCATTAAGAGAAAAGTAATGAAGAAACAACTTTATGAGAAAATTCTTACTGAGGCCCTGCTAGGTCCACTAAGCTGTTAGTACTTTCCCCTTCAAGGGGAAGCTAAGGTGAGTTAAGTGGTGCAGTGGATAGAATGCCTGGCCTGGAGTCAGGAAGACTCATCTTCCTGAGTTTAAATCTGGCCTCAGACATTTACTAAGTGTGTAACCCTGGGCAAGTCACTTAACCCTGTTTGCCTCAGTTTCCTCATCTGTAAAATGAGCTGGAGAAGGAAATGGCAAGCCATTTCAGTATCTTTGCCAAGAAAACCTCAAAAGGGATCACAAAGAGTAGGACACGACTGAAAAACTTCAAGGTTACCTTGCACCTGCCTTATAAGTGCTTTGAATGCATCTGCATATGTAAATTTCGTCTCCTTCTTTATGTAAACTCCTTGAGGACAGGCACTATCTTGCTTTGTCTTTGTATCTTCAATGTTTGAAAAAAAGACTGGCACATAGGAATTGATTAATAAAATACTTGTTTGAAGGATTGACATTGATTCAAATGTGTTTGCAGTCATTTAAAAAACTGAAAGGTACCATCTTTCATTATGATAAAATACATAATACTCTGACCTTTCAACATTTTAGGCTCCCTGACATGAAGATAGTCTATGTTTGATTAAATAAGATAAATTGGAAGCAAGTTTACTGCATTGAAGAGGAATAATTAATACTTTGGGGGGGGGGTTTTGGCATTCAAGGGGCTTCATCAACCTCCATCCATCTAAATCAAGCACTTTTGGGTTGTGTTTTCCTGACCAATTTGCATAATGTGTTGTATCAGTGGTATGTAAACAGTTTGTCCCCAGTAGAATATAAACTCCTTGGGGGCAGGGAATAGAATGATTATTTCCCCTATAAGATTAATTTCCTTCTACTCTGTATATATTTTGAATGTATCTGTTTACATAAATTTGTCTCTTCATTAGGATGTAAGCTCCTTGAGATCAGGGACTGGTTTTGCCTGTTTTGATGTCCCAGAACTTAGCATAATAACTGGTATGTAACAACTGCTTAACAAATGCTTATTTGATTGATTAATTGTCATGGTCTGTTGTGAAGTGAAAATAAAGAGTCCTTGAAGCCTATTTTGGAAAATGAAATATTTGTGATATGTCTATGGCTGGGATGATGGAGGACATAGCAGGAGAAAGAATGGGCAAGAGAGGCAGGAATATAGCTCTACGTCTGAAAGGTTATCCAAATCAAACAGATACAGAAAAGATTTGGAGAGGTCTTAGGCTAAATATGAGCAAGTCAATGGCACCTATTTGCTCTTTGCACCACATGGCTTTATGCTTATAACTGAAATGCTCAGGCCTTGGCATCTGAGGACACCAGCCTCACATTCAGTCATGGTCTGCTCATGCCCATCCACTTCCACACAAATGTTGAGTCCTCCTTCAACACAATTTGCTGCTGATTCTCGGCATACACATTTATTTATCTGGGCTGGAAAGCAGAAGGAAAAGGTTAATCAAAATTGGAAACATTTGTCTCTCTAAAAGGCACAGATTTGGTGATTTAGAGATTTGTTCCTGGACCAAACACCAGAGAATTAATGTTTCTCTACCAAGAATAAATGTGCAGTGGGGCTAATGCCAATCCTTTTATTGGTTGGAATCCTATGCTGACATTCCTTCCAGTTCTTTACATTCACATTCAAATAGTGATAAAAGGGAGAACCAGAACACTAAATAGACCCACTTCTACCATCACATCTAGTCTATGACACAGGATCCCATAAAACTGAAATTATAAAGGTCCACAGGGAAATGAGAAAGAAGTTAACACATTTGGGGAAATGGACTACACTTCCCATAGTGGTCCCAAACCAGGGACTGATGTCTTCCCCTTGAAAGCCAATGGACCAAGTCTCCCTGAAGAGCATCTTAAGTAGGAGAGAGACTGATCCCACACCTCATAAACAGAGCTCAGGAGATGGACATACTAACACATTAGCTGCAATGACTTTGGGAGCACAACATAATGGAAAACCATTGTCCCTATCAGGGAAGCAGGCATGGAATTTTCCAAGCCAGAGTAAAATACATATGACTGAAGTTCAGCATGTCAACCTTGGGTTAAATTTTGACAGTGATACATGGAAGATAGTAGAGCCAGCCTGGACCAAAAGACAGGTCAGACTTAGAAAGGGTCAGGAAGGGTCCCCCAAATCCTTAGGGAGGTGCTTTGTTCCTCCATTGTAAAAACTTAGAATACTCTAGGATTTTAAATTGTGTTCACACTAATGTCATCAATTACAGGCATTTATTCCCCACATCCAATCAGTTGTTAAACCTTTGTAATATGTCTTGTATATACCCCTCCTCTCTCCTCTAACACTATCAACACCATGGTACAGGCCTTCATCACCTCATACCTGGACTACTGCAATAGCCTTCTGGTTGGTCTCTTTATTTCCTCCTCTCACTACAATCCATCTTCCACTCAGCTGTCAAATTGATCTTCCAAAAGCAAAATTTTGACCCTATTTAATCAATTCTAGTGGCTCTCTATTGACTCAGGATCAAATATAAAACCTTTGTTAGGCTTTTAAAGCCCTCTCAAACCTAGCTCCTTCCTACTTTTTCACTGTTCTACCTGCTTATACTCCTGCCACACAGACCACTGCCATGTACTTTGTGGTCCAGTGACACCAGCCTTTCTGCTTTGTCTCAATCAAGACATTCCATCTCCCAACTTCAGGCATTTTCACTGCCTATGCTTCATGTCTGGAATTCTCTCCCTTCTTATTTTCTACTTCCTGGCTTCACTGGCTCCCTTCAAGTCCCAGCTAAAATCTCACCTTCTAGAAGAAGTCTTTCTTGGGCTCTTTTAGTAATAATGCCTTTCTTCCACTGATAATCTACAATTTATTATGTATAACATATATGTGATATATGGATATAGAGAGAGATACCATAATTGTTTGCACGTTGTCTCCCCATCACACTGTTAGCTCCTTGAAATCAAGGACTGTCTTTTGCCTTTCCTTGCATCCTCATTGCTTAGCAGTTTCTGGAACATAGTAGGCACTTATTAAATGTTTGTTGACTGATTCATTAAGTACCTACTATGTACTAGGTACAATATGAGGCTCAAGGGATACAATGACCACCAAAAAAAACCCCACAAGCAAAAGCTATCATTACTAGAAATTATTCTTACAATTACATGGGTAGCATATCTCTTACCATTGCATTTTTCCCACATAGAACATGTACCACATGTTCTGTCAGCTAGAGCAGGTAGAGTGCAGCTCCCGCTATCAGTAAGAGCATAATTCCTCCCCATACACTCAAGTACATGGAGCTTGCAAACTGTCAAAGCTACAACCCTTTTTGTTCTCCCATCTTGGGCACAAATATCCAAAGAAGGTCTGAAAAAAAAACAGAATAAATTATAGCATTTCCATATACCAACAAGGATTTATTAAGTACTTTGTCAAGCATATTCCAGGCACTGTGCTAAACTCAAGAGCTAACAATTCAAAGAAGGAACTTTTTCTACCAAGCAGAAGAGGGGAAAGAGCATTTAGTAAGGGCTTGTTATGTGCTAGGCCTGCACTTTGTGCTAAGTGCTTGAGATACAAATACAAACTAAAAATATGATCTCTACCCTGAGGGAACTTACATTCTCGCTAATGGAAGAAGGCAACAATTAAAAAGGAACTAGAAAAGGATGAGAAAAGAGCAAGATTGCTAGGGAGGAGGTAGAAAAGTCTGGATGGTGAGGAGTCCGACAGAAAGCAAAATGAACATGGACTGAACACCTCATGAAATGGTGGTCCAAGTCAGGGACTCATCCATCAGAAGGGAGGGCCGCAGAACAGGGGCACCTCCAGAGCACCTGTTCTTCACCTCAGATGAGTGGTTAAGTAAACGACCACACGGAGGGACTTGATCAAAGAGCTAATGGCTGTCAGAAGCAGGATTTGAACAAAGGCCTTCCTGACCCAGAAGCCAGATCTCTATCCCCCATACCATGCTGCTTCTCTTAAAAGTCCTTAAATAAAAATTATGGAATTTCACTCCATAAAAGTCTCTGAGCCTAGTCTAAACCAAATCTGATGACTTAGAATAAACTATTACTTGGAAAATGTTGTACTTCACAACACAGATGGCAGAACAAGCAGAATCCCTCTCAGGTAGACCTGAACAATTTTAAAATCTGAGATTTTAGGATTCTCATAGGTTTACAGGCTATATACGCCTTGACAGCCCTAGGGTTTCATTGGTTAAATGGGTATAATTCAAATCAAACAGAATAGGGGGAAATCTTTAGGGGATTCAACTAAGCAAATATGAAAGGATTTTCTCCAAAATGAATACAAATATTTCCTAGCTCCCAAAGATGACCCAAATAGCTTCCACAAAGCTGGACACTCTAGACTCATAATACAGCATGTTGCTGTTTTTTCTTTTCCCACATTTGTGTCACACCCACCTCTGAGGCTTTCCAATGATGCAAGGATGTTATAATGCTAATAGTTATTTTTATAATATTTTTATAATAGTTATTTTTAGCATTGACAACAATTATAAAGATACTGAAATATCAGCTTAAGAATTAACCTGGCAATCAAAGGCCAAATAAAAAATATGCAGTTCACATTAAAACACTTCTGAGGTTTCACCTCATTTCTCAGATTGACAGTTGATTAAAAAAAAAAAGGAAAATGACAAGAGTTGGAGGGGTTGTGGGAAAACAGGTACATCAATGTACCGGTTTTGGTGGAGCAGTGAATTGGTCCAGTCATTCTGGAAGACAATTTGGAACTATGCCTCCAAAAGTTATTAAGCTTGTATACTCTTTGACCTAGCAATACCATTCCCAAGTCTGTACTCCAAAAGGGATTTTTAAGAGGGGAGAGGGGAGGATCCATATGTACAAAATTATTTGTAGCAGTTCTTTTTGTGTTGGTAAAGAATTGAAAACTGAGAGTGTTCACATCAATAGGGGAATAGCTGAACAAATTATGGTATAAAAGACTGTAATAGAATACTAGGATGCTGTAAGAAATGATGAAGATGATAGTTTCAGAAAAACCTAGGAAGACTTGTATGAACTGATGCAGAGAGAAGTGAGTGGAATAAAGAGAATAATTTACAAAATAGCAACAATATTGTAAAAACAAACAACTTTGAAAGACTTAAGAAACATGATTAAAGCAATGACCAGTCACAATTCCAGAGGACTTGACATGAAACATGCTATCCACTTTCAAATAGAGAAGTGATAGACTCAGTGTGCAAATTAAGACATTACTTATATACATATATATGTATATATTCACACTCATATATATATATATACACACACATCTATATATTTATACCCATATATATGTATATGTATCTATGTATCCATACCTATATCTATCTATATCTATATCTACATCTATATCTCCATCTCCATCTATATCTATTTGGACATGGCCAATGCCAGAATTTGTTTTGTTTGACTATTCATATTTCTTATAAAGGCTTTTCCCCTCCTTTTTCAATAGGGGACAGAAAGGATGCAGGAGAAAGAGAAAGTAGATTTTAGTTAACTGGGGGGAAAATTTAATTTAAAAAAAAAGAGAGAGAAAACCAGCCTGAAGGTTTTCATTCCACTGTTAGCTACTCTCACTCTTGAGATTAGCTTGCATGAAAATTGTGACATATAGAAACGGAAGAAATAAATTGACACATTGGTTTTTGTGTCCTTTCAAATGGCTCAGCCATATCAGAGAAGGCAGTGGTTTCTAAACCAAAGGTTTTCTAAGTACAGATGCTGCTCAGTTATACAGAGGTGACATCCAAATACCTCAACTATCCAGAATATGGCTGAGAATCAGGAAGGAAGCAAAAAAGACTGTCAAAACAGATGCCATAAGGGCCATGGGCTTGAAGATCCCCTCAGGCTCTCACTCTGAACACTCATTCATACTTTCTACACAATTATTTTAAGTGTGGTTAATTAATTTTTTTTAAGTGTGGTTAATCCCTGTACACAGAGAATTAGAAGCAAAATGGGGAGAAGGAAGAACACTGGGGTTACAGAAGCAGCTCCTAGAGATGGGAACTTGAGCAGCAAATAATGACAAAAAAAAAAAAGCAGCTTGGGTGGCCTGACAACAAACAGGTAGAGACAGAGCTCCTTTAGTGTAGGAGCAAGCATCCCTGGGTACCTCTCTACTAACACTCTATTATGTTATAGCATAGTAATGGAGAGCAGTAAGGATGGCCATAAGTCAACATGAAAAGATCAAAGTGCAAGATTTGCCATTATCGAAATCAGGGAAGTATGCAATATTGTTTAGAAGTATTTGCATTCAAAACAACTACTCCAAAATAGCTTGGATACTTAAAGAGTTATCTGAAAAATTCATTTATGTGGAGCGTCTTATTCCCTGACAAAGCTGGATAAATAAGGTATTTCAGACAGGGTTATAGAAATACTCAGTTTATTCATGAAACTGCAGTTTCCAAAGCACTTTTCACACCCAAGGATATGGGAAGAGACTAAATTCATGGTTTGTATGTGTTTTAATTTAGTTCAAATACTTTCTTTTTCACCTGGAAGCAAAATTCACTTGGAGTTCTTTGAACGATGGAAACAAGTCTCAATATCTAACCTTTAATCTGTTTATTAAACATATTAAATAGAACTACTCAGCTCTGCTGAAAAGGCCGGGATTTTGCAAAGCTGCTTTGTTATCAGCATCTGAGTATAATGTTGAAATTATATGAAAACTCACATCGGGTCTATAAATAAAAGGCTGCAGATAATCTAAATGAATTGGGAAGGGGGAGAGGCAGTAAGGAGCAAAATCAATCAAAGCAAACCATGATTAATGTTGAATAAAGCTGGAATTGATACACTTTTTTGGAATACATTAAAGATTGCCATACTACTTACATTAAACCATATTCTCCTCAGTATGGAATAGTCAGTGAGGCATTTTGAACCAAAAATGTGGACAAAAGTTCCAATCCTGCCTTTGAAACACATTGGCTATGTGACCCCTGAGCAAGTCCCCTAATAATAATAGGTATTGAGTATTACTCACATTTTTAGGGGGGTGAGACAACTGAGGTTGACTTGCCCAGGGTTACACAGCTAGTGTGTCAAGTGTCTGAGGCTGAATTTAAACTCATGCCCTCCTGACTCCACGGCTGTTGCTCTATCCACTGCACCACTTAGCTGCCCCCATAGCTAACATTTATATAGCACTTTACCTGTATTATATCATTTGATTCTCCCCACAACCCTGTGAAATAGGTGCCTTATTTTGCAGATGAGGAAACTGAAAGGGAGAAAAATTACGTCTTCTTCAGGGTCACACAGCTAATAAGCATTTATGACAGGGTTCAAACTCAAATCTTCTTGCCTCCAAGCCAGCACACTGTCCATTGAGCCACCTAACAGCCTCCAGTACTCTAGGAAACTCTCCAGTTGCAGAGAAGGTACTGACCCAAATTGTTAAGAAGGTGTTTCCTTGCTGAGGAATTCCTTATGCCAATGAAATCACAGAGCCAGCCCCCATCCCTGGGATCTTCCAAGACACAAAACCCTCTGCATATGACATCACCAAATCAACTCTTTGAAGTTGGCTTTTATTTTCCATTGTCAGTGTGGTCAATTCATAATGCCAAGTAGGCAAACAATAACTGAATGACTATTCCAATTTTGAGAGACCAAAGGAACTATCAAGTCCGGTTGTTTTAATCACTCAGTATTACAGGATTTAAAGTAGCCTGAAGGAAGAAGTTAGAGGCTATCTAATCAAACACTTTAGTTTATAAATGAGGAAACTCAGGCCCAGAGAATTTAAATGACTTAACCAAGGTCAGACATAATAATTACTAGAACCAGGACACATCTTGAACAGGTAAAACTAGAGAGATTTCAGGGAATTCACCCATGACTTTCCCACAGAGTCCACTATCCTTGGGCCAGGCTATATCCATATATACCTTATATTGCATACAGACAGATTCTGCCCTTGGTAAAATAGAGTACAAAATGTTCAGAAGAAGGAAGAGGAAAGAAAAGACTCTCTTCCCTCAGTAATTATGACCTGTCTAGCCACACCACTGCTAGCTAGGTTTATTTTTTTCCCCAATCAGAGCAATTTTTCTCAGATAACAATAAATTAGGCCCCCTGTCAGTTTTATGTGTTTCTGGATCCCACGGACATTGGAGAGTTTGAATGGTAAGATGCAAGTCATCAACACTAAGAGGCACTCTGGTATGGGTGAATTTGCTTTGATTCCCAATCCTGACGCATACTTGCTATTAAATTGGGCAAATCCCTCTCCCTCCCTGAGCCTTACTTTCCTCATTCACAAATCAAGGTTTAAAAATTGTTGCACTAGCTACCTAAAGAGTTAGAGGAAAGTGCTTTAACTTTACAAATCTCTACAAAAATATGAACTATTATTAAAAATGGCTCTCCCCCTCTCCACACACCAGATCTTTCCAAAAAAAAGATGGAGCTATTCATCAGTAGATAAAGAAAATGAGTCCTCCTTTTCCAAGCCTTAAACTTTCCCAAACAAAAGATAAAAAAGAGAGGATGAGTTTCACGTAAAATTGTTTATTCATTACCTTCTGTCCATAAGGCCATCAAATCATTGCATATAGATTTGAAATGCATGCAATTTGACCTTATCTATTTAATTATTTATATTATATACCCTCTTAGATAAGTTTCTATTACTTGTCAGGGCATTTTAGTGTCCTGATCAAATTCAGCCAGAGTGGGCAATGCTCTTTCTGGAGCAGGGAAGTAAAGAATTTGCTAAAGAGATGTTGCCCTGACCAGATAGCATGAATAATAATAGCTAGTCTACTTGGCAGGTAGAATCCTTAAGCAGATAAAGGTAGCTCACCAGACAAACCCAGTTAGAAGAAAATGTTCTTTAAGATGATTAGGAGACATTCACTGTGGTTCTATAATTGCTAAGCAACTTTATGATCTTAATCCAGTTTCTCAAGTAGCTGTGGTCTAGTAGAAGAAACATGGGGTTTAGATTCGGAAGGTCTAAGTTCAAATTCTGACTATATCACTGTGTGGCCATGGGCAAGTGTCTTCATTCTGATCCTCAATTCCTTCAACTATAAAACAAAAATACTTTGTTTCCACTGCATGTCTCACAGGTTTTTATAAAGATAATCAAATACGGTGAATGTATGTAAAGTGCTTTGTAAACCTTAAAGCGGTATAAAAATTTTAGCAGTCAATTGTTACTAAGTGGATTTCTTTCCTGGAGGAAAATGCACTGTCCATTTAACATAAATGGACATAAATTAAACATAAATAAAACACCACTTTCCAATTCGATTTAGCACATGTGTATTGAGCACCTACTATGTGCAGGGTACTGTGCTAGACACCTCACAATTATATTTCTTCTTGTAAATTAATACACTGGCATTTTTACCAAAATGTCTCTTGTGAATTTGGTTAACATGAATCAGTTTCCAGAACCTGATCACCCCTGGAAGAACTGAAAAACTGGAATGTGTAAAGCTAATATAGTACTCATGTACCCTTACTTGAAGTCACCTGATTGGGTCACCTTTGCCCAAAAGTCTTCAATGGGGCCTCCTCCACAAATAAGGCTCTTGCTCCTTAGCTTGGTCTCAGGCTCCACAATATGGCTCCAACCTACCCTTCCCGCATTTTATCCTAACTGTAATATACATTATATTCTATTCGAACTGGACTACTGGCTGTTCAATAATTTTATCCTGCTTTCTCCTGCCTTTGGGTCTTTGCTCCTATGGTGTTCCTTCTCCTAACCCAAAGCCTTGCATAGACTCCCCAACATCTACGGTCTTATCCCCTGGTGAGATTCTTTGTCATCCTTGAAGACCTATCAAATATGCCTCCTCCTCCATGAAAACTTCCCTTTCAGAAGTAGACTTTTTTTTCAAACAGCCAGGTGGCATGGTGGAGAGAGTGTTGGAGTTGGGATCAAAAAGATCTGTCTTCAGTCCTGCCTTGGATCCTTCTTACCTGTGTGACCCCAGTCAAGTCACTCAGCCTCTCATATTCAGTTTCCTCCTCTATAAATCGGGAGTAATAATGCCTCCTACCTCACAAAGGTCATTTTGAGGATCAAATGACATAATACGTGCAAAGCACTTTGCAAACCTTAAAGAATTATGTAAATGCTGGTCATTCTTATTCCTCAGAAAGGCAGCATGGAATAATGGATAGAACACTGAACTTGAAGTCAGAAAGACCTGAGTTTCAATCTTGCCAGAGACATTTACTAGCTGTGTGACTCTAGGTGTGTCATCCAACCTTCTCAGCCTCAGTTTCCTCCTATGTTAAAATGGATATGATAATAGCAGCTACTTCACAAAGTTATTATCCATGTAAAGCAATTTATAAGCACTATTGCAAATGTCATCTGTTATCTCACATGGCTCTTTGTACCTCTCCTATACAATTGTTATAATTTTGTTCATATTAAATGATTATAGACATTTGTGAATTTGTCTCATTTCCACTACTAAATTATAAACTTTGTTATCTCATCACCACCACCAGCATCAACACCACCCACCATCTTGTAAAGTAACTTGTAGACAGCAGGAATTTTATAAATATTTGCTAAACTGGATTTAATTTTTTTTCACTAAGTAAGCTATCTAACTCTTCAACTTTATACAAAACAAAGTTCAAGCTTTCTAGCTGGGTGGTATTTTATATTAAAAGAATGATCATAAACACAAAATAGAAAAGCCTCTTATCAATTTTCTATGACTATGGTTTTGAGAGTTTATATCCCAAGGGAATTTAATTATCCCTTAAACCTCTAAATCCTCAGATGTTGCTTTGTCATGTTGCTCCATTTTCCCAAGCAAAGGCTGGTCAGCTACTTCCCAGTCAAACCCCCTTAACCAGATTTCATGAGGGCTAGAGCACCAACTGTACTGCAGTGTAAACAAAAACTGGTAACTTAGACCCATGCAGGCAAAGCTGTCTTATCTAACACAGACTGAAGTCTTCCCAATGTTATCTGATTTGAGTTAAGCAAAACCATTAGAGATGAGCAGAGGCACAACTTACCCACATTCATAAGGCATTTTACAAACGCATCTAGACTCCTGCAGCTTCTCCCAGGGTTGGCATGGCTGGGTTGTCAATACTGGTTTCTCAGTGCCCTCTAAAGGGAAACAATATAGGAGATATCACTGGGTTAAGAAAGAAAAAACTTCAGTTGTCAATGAGGTTGTCATTTGAAGGGCTAAAATTAGTTGATAAAAATTTCTGAAACTGCAAAGGATTATGCACTAGGAAGCTCATTTTAAAACTGCTCAAAATACTTTGTACTGCTTGTAACTGGGGTCCAGCACATTCCCAGGACCCCCAGTATTTCTCTGCCTCTTCCACACAGGAACTGGCTTCTGCTGAGCATACTTATGCACAGTGCTCATGGGCCAGTTCCAGTTACACAGAGGAGTAAATCACCTAGCAGCTCGTACTAATAACTTTATTATTGGGAAATACTATGGATTGTTTAATTCTATTATACAATCTTATGTCCAGGGATACTACAAAAGACTCACCAGGGACATAACACACCTAGAAGCATTACAAGTGTCCCAAGATGACCTAAGTTCAAAACCCCTCTCTCTTATTTATTATGTGCATGACTTTGGGCAACTCATTTAACCTCTCTTTGCCTCAGTTTCCCCATTTATAAAATGAAAGATTTGTCCCTTCCATTTCTAATTCTATGATGTATAAGACTTAATTCCATTAACAGTCAAACTAGTACCCTAATCCTCCTAGGTCTCAATTTCCTCATTTGTAAAACATGTTTAGATAATTGTGACCCTGAAGATCTAATAAGAATACACTTTATTTGTTTTTGGTAGCAATCAGAGTTAAGTGACTTGCCTAGGGTTACATAGCTAGTAAGTGCCTGAGGACTAATTTGAACTCAGGTCCTCCTGACCCCAGGGCCAGTTGCTCTATCCACTGTGCTGATGGGGTGCTTGGGTGTTTGTGTTTGGGTGCTTGTACTTGGACCCCAATTTCTCCCCAGCCTCAGAAACACTGTCTCTGACAATTTCTCCCCAGCCCAAGGACACTGTGCCTAGCAATTACTCATGAGTGGGCCCCAGCAAGACCCTTATCTCTCTCCCTGGTTCAGTTAAAAACAGCACCTAAAGGAATTATTAGTTTGAACTGGCTTTGCCCTGGGTCATAAAGACATTCTTACCCACTGGACTATCTATACTACTGACCTACCTCATTATCTACATTCTGGACTCTTCATTATTTGTATTCTAGACTTAAGACATATGTATACTCCTTAAATCTATCTTGTCAAACAAGATATTGATTGGTGGCAGACTGGACAACTCTCAGTTACCCCTGAACTCTAGTTAATTTAGTGACGTAGCAGGCCTAAAACCACACCTCCATGTGGCCCCCCCTTGTGGGCTTTTCCCAGTGAACTCTGGGTAAAACACCTGCACAGTAGGTACAAGAAGTGCATGTTCTTTTAAGAACTGACCACTCCTTAACCATTCCCTAATCCCACCCTGAATCACGTAGTTAGCATATTTGGCACATGTTTTATTGTATTTTATACTATATAAACTTTAACTATACTCTTTTAAGATTGGAGGATCCTTGCGCACTGAAAAGAGTAACAATAAACTTTTTTCCAACTTGACTTAAAGAATGCTTGAGTCTGTGAATTCATTCCAGATGACCCATCATGTACTCCACTCTTTGAGGGGTCACAACCTCTCAGACTGCAACAGTACCACCTAGCTGCCCCAACAAGGCTCTTTATATACCAGGAAGACCTTCCTGACCCAGAAGATGGACTTAGACTAATTTTTAAGTAGATAAAAAAAAATTAATAACATGGTCTTCCTCATTCTTCCTTGTGACCATGGCCTGGCACCAGAAGAACAACCATAATACTGTCTTGTAGAGGTCCAAAGTACCTTAGTGAAGCCTAAATACCCTACAAATAACTTAAAGTTGCAAACACCTGAATTTTCCAGGACTTTTCTACAAGATGATTTTTCATCATATTCAGTTGAATAAACATTATTAAATGATTATTGTGTGGGAAAGGTAAATTTAGCAAACAATCAAGCCGGCTCCTACTCTTATAATAAGCAATGAAGATACAAAGACAAAAGCAGAACCATCCTGCCCTCAAGACTGTTATATTCTAATGGTGATTAAATACAAGGTTTAGGTTTAACCTAAGTGAATATACTTCCTGCGTTCACGAAATTTGCAGACTAGTAAAGGCATAAAGACATATGTCCAGAGAACCATAATACAAAAGAATAATAACCATAAACAAATTAGAAACCTACAGAACAATGTGTCATGAGAAAACTGAGGTGGGGGTGGGGAAGGTCGAATTGAGCATGGAGAGGACATGGAGAAATTAATAGATAAAGAAAGAGGGAGGACAGTGCAGGCATAGGAAACAATGTGAGCAACAGCAGGAAAGCATGGGCTGTGTTGGGGGGGGAGCAGTGAGTAATCCAGTTTAACTGGAACGTAGCTTACAAGGCAGGGAGTTATGAGGTAAGACTAGAATGCTAACACGGCATTAGACATCTGGGAACCTAAAATGCCAGGCAATTATGAAGCCAGTGAAAGTTTCTGAGTGGGGAAATAACATGAAAATCTTTGAAGACAGATTATTCTGGCAGCTTTATAAGGAACTGATCAGAGAGAGGAACGTGTGGACACAGAAAGATCTCTTAGGAGGTGGTTTCAATGCTACAAGCTGATGGTAATGAGGTCCCATACTGGGGTAGTGGCATTGGTAGCATATAGAAGAAGACAAGTGCAAGGGATATTTTGGAGGAAGAATTGACAGGATGTGGCAAGTGATTACATACAAGAGCTAAAAGAGGGGAATGGAGCCAGAAATAGCACCAAGGTTTCTAACTGGTAAAGCTTGTTGGATGGCAGTACCACTGACAGAAAGTCTCCAAGACCAGACTTAAGGAGAAAGATAATGATCTTGGCTTGGGGCATAATAAGTTTGAGGTACTAGCAGTATATGCAGAAGGATGTATCTTGTAGACAGAGATTTAGGCCTGGGGGTCTGAAGATAGGTCAGAGCTGGATATAGAATACATGGAGGTAATAGCTGAAACTGAAAGTGTTTCAAGTATCTTGGGAACCAATCCCTCGTCGCTTTCAATATTACATCACTTTCAACATGTACTTCCTCTGTGCATCCTCATTGCCTTCAATATTACGTCACCTCCAACATGCATTGTGCATTATCAATTCCTCACTGCTTTCAATTTTACATCACCTCTAACATGGATCTCCTCTGTGCATTAAACACACCTGTTCTTCCCATCTTCTTAATGCCCAAATTCCTTCTGGATCACAATAGGAACTAGGATTTTTAAGAGTCCAAATATCATTGTGAGGTGGTATAGTGGATAAATTTCTGAGTTTGGAGTCATGAGAACCAGAGTTGAAATCTCAGACACTTACTTATTAGCTGTGTGTGACTCTGAGAAAGGTTTCCTCAACTGCACAATGGGGATATTAATAGTAGCTACCCCATGAAAACAAGGTTATTTGAGGATCAAATAAAAGTAGATAAAAGATGTAAGCACTTGCAAACTTTAAAGAGCATATAAATGTTACCTATTTTTATTATTACCATAATTGATCCATTGTCACTGATAGAATAATTTATTATAATTTGAGCATATATTTTCTTTTGTTTGTTTGTTTATTGTCTGTCCTTCCATTTTCATCCTTAGATGATCTTGGAATCATTTGTTGTTGTTGTTCAGCTGTTTTCAGTTGTGTCTGACTCTTCATGACCCCATTTGGGGTTTTCTTGGCAAAGATACTGGAGTCGTTTGCCATTTCCTTCTCCAGCTTGTTTTACAGATGAGGAAACTGAGGCAAACAGGGTTAAGTGACTTGCCCAGGGTCACACAGCTAGTAAGTATCTGGGATGCTTTGATTTAGTCTTTTACCAGACTTCTTTTTTTACCTTTCTTTTTTACTTCTTACTTTTTACCTTTTTTACCTTTTACCATTTACTTTTTTTCTTTGACCTTTTCTTGTTGTTTTATGAGATGATACTATTCAAAATCTTCTACTATCCTTCTCCATAAGATTTTGCAAATGAATTTAAATTCTTAACCAGTGTTGACCTTGATTACCATATTTCTCTTTCAGGACAAAGAAACAGAAGGCAAGCATTTTCTTATTGAATCAGTCTCTAGATTCTTTTTGCCTTCTAGATACAAAAACTTTAAAAGACTATTTACAATTAGTGTTTCCACTTCCTTCCCTCTCACTCAGTCCTTTACTCTGTACAATTTTGCTTCTGACCACGTTATTCAACCAAAATTGCTCTCTCCAAAGTTACTATAATGATGTTGTAATTTCCCAACTAATAGGATTCCTCATGCTCATCCTTCGTGACCTCTCTACAGTATCTGACAGCCTCTGACACTATTCATCATTCTCTTCCCTGGGATGCTCTCTCCTTTCTAAGTTTTTTGTGACACTGCCCACGGGTATGTTAATACACATCTAACAACCAGCTCTTAGGGGAAAAAATTTACATGACATGCCTTTCAATTTGATCTGAGAAAATTAATATTTTCCCCATCACTTTCTTAAGTCTAGACAGACAATCAATAAATCAATAAATCAAGGTCTGGCTTACAGTTTGCCAATTCCAAGGTATAACTTTTCACACTAAAAATTTAACAGTTGTCCATTGGGAGACAGTTCAAGCTGGCTCCAACACATCCCTGCACTGCTCTCTCTTAGTATTCCTCACATCTGTCTGTGACCACTTCTTCTAAGTCTCCTTTACTAGCTTTTCATCCAAGTGACATCTACTAAATGTGAGTATCCCCCAAGGGGATATTCTCTTCTCTCACTACACTATGTCACTTGGTGATCTCATCACTTCTCATAGGTTCAATTACCATCATCTATGCAGATGATCTTAGTGTAGTTTTGGGCTTTTAACTGCACTAAGACTTTTAGGACACCTTATATATTTACATATATATTGTAAATGGGAGATAATAGAAGATAGATGATTGATATATAGACAAATAGATAATATATTAGGCAGAAAAATAGATACAGAGAGAAATATAGAGATCATGACAGAGAGATCTTTTATGTACATAGCTGTTTGCATGCTGTCTCCTCTCATCAAAGGTGAGCCTCTAGAATTCAAGGATTCTATATTTGCCTTTATTTTTATCTCCATTGTTATTTAGTCATGTCCAACTCTTTGTGACCCCATTTGGGGTGTTCTTGGCAAGAATATTAGAGTGGGTTTTTCCCATTTCTTTTTCCAACTCATTTTACAAATAAGGAAATTGAGACAAACAGGACTAAGTGACTTATCCAGGGTCACACAGCTATTAAGTGTCTGAGGCAGAATTTGAACTCAGGTCTTCCTGAGTCCAAGCCCAGTGCTCTATCCACTGTGTCATCTAGTTGCCCTTTTTTTAAATCTCCAACACTTTACAAAGTGTCTGGCACATAGTAAATGTTTAATAAATGCTCGTTTACTGGCTAAGTTAAACTACCTTGAGAAATAGTATAAAGTAGTGAAGAGAGTCTGGGCTTTGAATACGGGAAGTCCTGGGTTTAAGTCTTGCCTGACTCTGACACATACTAGCTTGGGACTATAGGGAAGCTACTTAAGACTCAATGCCCTAGGCAACTTGCCATCCTACAGATGAGTTGCTGATCTTCATCAACAGAGAAAGTTTTCATACCAGAAGTTTCTTACGTAGATAAAGTTGCAGAGGTTCAGACCAACAACAATAACAACAAAACCCTTCCTTAAGAAATGGTCTTTGCACTGTACTAGAAATGCTAGCTGTAACAATAAGAGAAGAAAAAGAAATTAAAGGAATTAGAAGCAGCAATGAGGAAACAATGCCATCACTCTTAGAGAGTCCTGAAGGATCAACTAAAAGAGTACCTGAAATAATTAACAACTTTAGCAAAGTAGCAGGATATAAAATAAAACCATATAAATCATCAACATTTCCATACATTACTAACAAAGCCCAGCAGCAAGAGATAAAGAGAGAAATTCCATTTAAAATAACTGTAGACAGTATAAAATATTTGAGAGTCTACGGGCCAAGACAAACTCAGGAATTACATGAACACAATTACAAAATTTTTTTCACACAAATAAAGTCAGAACTAAATAATTGGAAAAATATCAGTTGCTCATGAGTAGGCCAAACTAATATAATAAAAATGACAATTCCACCTAAATTAATATACTTACTCAATGCCATACCAATCAAACTACCAAAAAATTGTTTTATAGAGCTAGAAAAAAAAAATAATAAAATTCATCTGGAAGAACAAAAGGTCCAGAATATCAAGGGAATTAATGAAAACAAATGCAAGAGAAGTTAGCCCAACCATACCAGATCTAAAACTGTATTTTAAAGATCAGTAGAATAGGTTAGGTACATCAGACACAATAGTCAATGACTACAGTAATCTGTTGTTTGATAAACTCAAAGACTCCAGCTTCTGGGATGGTGGGCAAAGACTAAACCTTACTCTCATTAAAACTGGCTCAATGAAAGAATAACCTACACACACATTGAAGTGAGTAGAACCAGGAGAACACTGTGCACAGTAACAGACACACTGTGCGATGACTGACTTTGATAACTTAGCTCTTCTCAGCAATGCAAGGATCTAAAACAACTGCAAAAGACTCAATATAGAAAATGCCATCCACATCCAGAGAAAGAACTGTGGAGTCTGAATGAAGATGGAAGTATACTATTTGCTCTTCTTTTCTTTTGTTGTTTTGTTTTATGGCTTCATTCTTGTGGTTACTCTCATCATTTCTAATTCTTTACATCATGACTAATGGGAAATAGGCTTAATATGAATGTATAAATAGAGCCTATATCAGATTGCACACTGTCTTGGGGAGGGAGGAGAAGAGAGGAAGAGAGAGGGGGAGAAAATTTAAAACTCAAAATCTTATTGAAGTGAATGATGAAAACTAAAAATTAATTAATTAATTATTTTTAAGTGAATGTTGAAAACCACTTTTAATATGCAAAAGTGACCACAAAGTACGTTTAACATGATTGCACATGTATAACCTATATCAGATTACTTGTCATCTTGGGGTGGGGAGGGAGAAAGGTAGAAAAATTTGGAATTTAAAATCTTACACAAAATGAGTGTTAAAAACTATCTTTACATGTAATTGGAAAAAATAAAATACAATTTTCAAAAAAAAAGTGACCAAAGTTAAGGCAATTTGAACACGAGCTAAAATATGTAGGTAAAACGGATCCCTCCTGCTTTAGAAGTGCAGGTCACATAAGTTTCGAGAGGACTTCATTTTTCTCGTTTGTGTCTCTAGCACTTAGCACAGGGCCTGGCACATAGTAGGCCCTGAACAAATTTGTTGAATTTAATTAAATTGCTGGACTAGAATCACTGAAAACATAGAACAACTTACCCTTTAATCTGCAATGGGAATTCATATCAGGCCACCACTTCAGACTGGAGCCACAAGAGAATAGAGATGGACCTTCCAATATCATGCTCCCTGAGCAGGCCAAGGTCACCTTCTCTCCAACCTCATAGAAAGGTTTCTTGGGATCACTTTGGAGACCTTTTTCCAAAGCAGGCAAGACACAACCTATTTCTAAAGAGAGCACAAAGTTGCAGAATGTAAGGGTCTTTAAATTTCCAAACTATCAAAATCCTGTGTTGCACGGATATTTTTAATTTGTTCTTGCTCATGAGTAGAGGAAAGAGTAGGACTGGGAAACTCATTCTTGAGAAATTTCTGAAAGACCAAGACACATATTCTTCCTCTAGAAGTAAAATGAAAATTTTAATTAAATAAGACTGATGAATGCAGAGACCTAAAAGTCAGCCTACCCATTAAAGGCAAAATTCTCAGATTCTCTACTTGAGTGATCTCCCACAGAGATTTTGCCTAATGCCATGTTCTGGTATATTTTCAGAAGATTAACATAACTCTACTCTCTGGAAATTTTCAGCTGACAGTTTTATCATCATAACTCTTAAGGCTGTCAAGTGTTCATTTTCTTCTGCCTCCGTCCCTTATGACCTACTTACCATTGTTAGCCCAGGTCCTCAAGGTGAAAATATATCACATAGAAAGAGAGGAAACACATAGCTAGAGAAAGCATGAAAAAGAATGATAAAAACTGTAAGAAAGTTTTACAGGACCACTAATAGTCACTGAGCCATAGTTTGGAAAATCTTGCTCTACTTCTTATATGTTTTTGTAATAGAACTAATATATCATGCATTTCACTGTCTAGAATTTTCAACAAATCACATTAGCTAACTCAAAAAATTTTCTTTACATTTTGTGGTCCTGACTTTGTGAAACAGCTAGTTGCTGCAATACAGCTGTGATGGAATCTTAAGTTGAGATTTGGCGAATATTCTAACAAGTTAAAGAATTATCCAAGAACTAAATAAATTAATAATGACAACTAACATTTATACAGCACTTTAAGGTTTGCCAAGTTTGCCACATATATTATCTCAGTTGATCCTCTCAAGAGCCCTGCAAGAAAGGTACTATAATTATCTCCATTTTATAGATGAAGAAATTGAGACTTGCCTAGGTTCATACAGCTGGTGGTTAAAGAAGCATTCAAATTCAGGCCCTGCTAACTGCAAATCCAGCACTTTGTCCACCCCACCACCTAGCAGCATCCACAGCAATGCAGAATGTCCCCAAGAGGATTATTCAGGGTAGCTCTGAACTTGGGTTAGGACCAAATCAGTTTCCAAAGTAAATGATGTCAGGACCCAGAATAAGCAGCTATTTGTCCCATTGGCTTTTCAATATGCCCCAAATGTAATTTCCAGGTTTAAGTAGGACATTATAATTAAGATTACATACTCTGGCAATGTTTTTCCCCAACAAGCCAAGTTAAATCTTCTCCACATTTGGCAACCGGGTCCCCAACAAGAGCATATCCCTCTTGGCATGTATAAACCACACTTCTTCCAACTGGAAATGATGGACCTGTATCCTGAACAAAGAGAGGAAAACTCAGAACATGAAGCAGGGGGTACGATGAGGAAGGGGCAAAGAATCATGTTTTTAAGGGAGAAAATAGGTTATCTGTATATTGTAGATAGATGCATTAGGTATACAATATATAATATGCATATATGTTTACATGTGTACATGTATACATGATGGATACAAGTAGGCTACAAGTTTCCAATAAAGCCATATGTGCAAGAATTGACATAAATATTGTCACCCAGAAAATGTACAATCAAAAAAGAAGAGTCAGTCATGTAGCAAAGGGGAAAGGAATGAGGGAAAAGAAAAAGTATTTATTTAATGTCTACCGTGCCAAACACTATGCTAAGTACTTTACAAATATGATCTCGTTCAATCCTCACAACAATCATGGGTAATAAGTGTTAATATGATCCCTATTTTTACAGTTGAGGAAGCTGAGAAAGAGAGACATTAAATAATTTGCCCAGGATTGTACAGGAACTTACTAAAGTGTCTGAGGCCAGATTTGAACTCAGGTGTTCCTAATTCCAGTCCCAGGACTCCATCTATTGTGCCACCTAGGTACCTCTGCAGCTAGAATTTAGGGGTATAGTGAGAGAGAAGGATAACAACCAGGCAACCTAGGTGCTACATTAATACTCACAAAATGCAAAAATGACCTATAGGAAGACCCTAAGCATCTTTAATGAAAAGTGTATGGACAAGAATCACTGAGGATAAAATGATGGGAATGTGTTGGTACCTGTCCTGATGAAGGTTGTGCCCACATCAATCATAGCACCATTTAAAGATGTGAGCAATATTTGCTTTGGCAACACTGTGGATGTCTTGAGAAGTAAGAAAGACTCAAACCTCATTAATAGGTTTCCTGAAAAGTTGAAGCTTCTGGTTTAATGTGAACCAAAAGCAGAGAGGGCAAATTTCCATGTTAGCAAACAAGTAGGAAGTATGTCCATTCAGGACAAGTCTCCCTTTCCCATTCTAAGTACAAAAATGTCTGAAGTACAGTTATAGGTAGCTCACAGTCCACTAGCTAAATGTCTATTAGCCTAATGGACTTCCTTGGGATAGTCCAACCAGAATGGACTGCCTAGTTGACACATTCCTGGGAGGAAATTTATTCTCAGTACCAAGGATATATGTTTTCACATTTATAAATCTGACTGTAACTTCATGGTTTGAGTGACATGACCTCCGATATGCTTACATTTCTGGACAAGTGAGAAAATAGGGAAGGATAACTTTTATTCTCTTTACTGTACATTAGAGTGTAAGTTCCTTGAGGGCAGGGATTGTTTTCACTTTTTCTTTGCATCCCTAGTGTTTAGCACTGTGTCAGTCACAGAGTTGGAGCTTAATAAATGCTTGGTAATTGATATGCAAGAAAAGTCACGAATCAGTTAAAGAAACAAAGAGAACACAGGAAAAGGCATGAAAAGGGGACAAGGGAAAAAATTAATAATAAATGTTTGTGGATTATTTCTCTGAAAGAGATGGACTTCTAGCTGGGAGAGATTATGTGGTATAGCAAAACTTTCACTACTGGGAGTCATAGTCAGGAGACTTTTGGGTCTTCTGACAAGTTATTTAACCTACTGAATCTTGATTTTCTCACCTGTAAAAAGAGAGGTTAAATTACATGATCTTCGAGGCCTTCTTCAACTCAAAATTTCTATGATTTTGTGCAACTGAACCACAGCTAAAGCAGCATGGCCCGAACGTAAAGAAAAGGCTCAATGTAAAGAAAACACTGAAAACCTACTTGAACAAATCCATTTTCCAAGGAAGGTGGTGATGGGCAGGAATTTGTGGGGACTCCAGACATATCAAAGCAATGTGGTTCTATCAAGCTAGAAAGCAGAACAGAAAAGGCCTTTATCATCATTTAGTAACTCTGTAGAGATTGTGTACGTTACTGTCCATACTAATGCATTCTTTTGCTTGCGTATTAAAGGAATATGTTTATGTATGTGTATGTGTGTGTGTGTGTGTGTGTATACATATATAGCAAAATGAAAACTAACAAGACAAAATCAAAATACATATATGTTGAGATTTCAAGCAGTTAAGTTAGGAAGTAAAGAAAGATGTATTAGAACAGTCCCTTCAGGCCTCAAATGTACAATAAATATTTATAGCAGCTTTTATTTTATCATTGGTGGCAAATAACTAGAAGCTAAGGAGGTACTGCCAGTGACAAAACAATTATGGCATATTAATATAATGGAATACTCTCGTGCTGTAACAAATGATGAAAGGGATGATTTCAGAGAAACCTTGGAAGACTTGTATGAATTGATGAAGAGCTAAGTTAGCAGAACCAGGAGAACAATTTATGACAACACCATTGTAAAGACAAACAACTTGGGAACACAAAAGAACTCTGACCAACTACAATGATCAACCACAATTCCAGAGGACCAAGGACGAAGCAAGCTACCCACCTTCTGACAGAGAGGCTATGTACAGAATCACACACATACACACACATGCACATGCATATATATATATACACACACACACACACACACACACACACACACACACACACATACACATATACATATACATATATATCTGATATGGCCAAATATGGGAAATCTTTTGCTTGACTATGCATATTTGTTACAAGGGTTTTATTTTTCTTTTTTTTTTGATGAACAAATGAGAGAGAGAAAAAAACAAATTGTTGTTAAAATTGAAAAATATCTATTAAATTTTAAAAAATAAATAACATGTACCATAACCTCTGACATCACTTACAAGTCTGAGATTCTGTGACTGAATCAAGGCAGAAAGTAGTAACAGAATTTAATGCCTCATCATCAACTAACCCAACTCCTGACACAGTTGTTATGTAGTTGGTACTTCAATATTTTAGCAAATCTGTGATGTCATTTATAAATGACTGAATGATTATATATACACAATACATATATAATATATATGATACAATATACAATAATATATATCAGAACCCATGGTATCCTTCTTGTCATATGCAATTCCTTTCTATATCTTCTCATAAATCCTCTATCAATAGACAATTTACTCAATGTCTTGTCTCCTCACTAGGATATAAGCTCCTTAAAGGCAGGGATTGTTTTTGCCTTTCTTTGTATCCCTAAGCATTGCCTAGCACATAGTAAAAGCCTAATAAATATTTGTTGACTAGAACTGGCTGACTATGGGCACCAGTGCAGCCCTTGTTTGAACTGTGATTGTTATCCTTCCTTCTCATGACTTGACCAGCCCTACCTTCTTTCCAAGGGTGTATTTGCTAAGTGATGCTTTTCAAGACATTTTTTGTACACAGGTCATCATTAGAAATATGTACCTTATTCATACCTACCATATAAATCTCTCAATTGCCCTTTTCAGTCACTTCTAATTTTGAGTCCCAAGATATTATGGTCTTCAATGATTTGTAGCTATAAGACATCTCCAGAGGAACATTGGTGCTAAATGGAGTTTTGAGTAATGGACCAGATAGGGATCACTGAAAGGGCTATTCAGTTCTCAAGTATAGCTCACCTTATTCTCTTCATTCTATCTAGTTTTGTAAGAAATAGTGATAATCTGACTAAATGCCCTATTTCCCCCTTTTTTCAGAGCCAACATCTAGTTTAACTAGATAAAGTTGGAGATGTAATTATATTTAGTGTCTTCTCATCTATATCCTTCCTTTTAATTTGATGTTAATTTTGACCTTGACTCTTGCTGGTCATGGTTTGCCTGCCTCCAAACAGTTAATTCAGAAATTGTTCCCATGTCAGTAACTGGCCATTTCCCATCTCTTAACGCAGAGTAAATTACATTTTTATTGTGTTGTTTAGTACTTGCCATTTCCAGTTCCCTCCAATTCTCTTCTCAAAATAAAGTGTTCACATATTTAGATACCAGAATTCTGAGTAATTTATAAATCGTTGACCTCTTTTATTTCTTAATACTGAGCCATATTTTTAACATGTTTTTCATACCTGTCAACCTTCACATTATAGTAACTAAATATTAAGGTACATATTAACTTGGTTTGGAGAATCATGTTAAAGTTCTTCATAAACTTGACTGCTTTATGTCATGCAACAGATGTTGGAGCACCAGCTGCCATTGTCTCCATAGTGGTCTTTTGCTTATGCTCACCATGCACTCATGCAAGACAAGGTGATCGAGGGTCCCAGGAAATTATATTTTTATCTTTGGTCACATGGTGAAATCACCTCTGCCAACTCAAGGAGTGCCCAAGGCACCATACTTTCCTCTCCAAGGAAAACTTGTGAGACATCTTTCCATTTTTCAGAAACTTCCTTATGCCTTCTGGTTTCATTTATCATGAGAATGTCAGTATTTATATGGTTCATTTCTTTCAGTATTACATCAATTGTTGGTTATTGGACAAAGATTCTCTCTCTCTCTCTCTCTCTCTCTCTCTCTCTCTCTCTCTCTCTCTCTCTCTCTCTCCCCCTCCCTCCTCTCTCTCTCTCTCTCTCTCTCTCTCTCTCTCTCTCTCTCTCTCTCTCTCTCCTTCCCTCTCTCTCTTCTCCTCTCTCTCTCTCTCTCTCTCTCTCTCTCTCTCTCTCTCCCTCCTCCTCTCTCTCTCTCTCTCTCTCTCTCCTCCCTCCTTCTCTCTCTCTCTCTCTCTCTCTCTCTGCCTTTCTTTCTCTGTCTCTCTCTGTGTCTCTTTCTCTGTCTCTGTCTCTCCTATTTAAATCAATATTTACAATTAGTCTAAAACAGTATGAGTCTCAAGATCACCCTCCCACTATCTCTGTGGAAATGCAATAGGGTTACACAAGACCAAGAATCATCTCTTTTTTTATTTTTGTCTGTTTCATATGTTGCTACAGAGAAAAAAAAATCATCATCAGGTCCAATCTACTAGTGAGGACCCTTCCCATATTTAGCTAGGCTGTTCCTCAGACAATAAGCACTGGCTGTCACTGAGATCACACTAAAAGTCTCTCCAGTCTTACAGCATTTGTTAGTGCCTGTGTTCCACTAGCACAGTGCTTCAAGCACCCAGAGTCACTGCTACGTCATGCTGAGGCATAGAATAGGACCTTGGTGGAACATGTACTCCATAGACACTCACTAAATATGAATGAATTGATTAATCAAGTTGCATTCTGGTCAGAATTGCTCACCCTCCTGGGACAGATAAGAATGAATTCTCAGATTCATTCCCTAGAATTTTCCTCTGCATAATCATAATTTACATTTCTATAACACTGCAAGGTTTCCAATGTACTTTACACAGACACACAGACATACATACCCCCCTGAAGGTAGATAGGGAGTGAACATATTACTGTGCCCATTTTACAGATGAGGAAGCTATAAGTTTAAAAATGACTTTCCTAGTCATAGAACTAATAGGTAGAGAACCTAGATTCAAACCTAGTTTTTCTTACTTTGAAGTCCAGTGTTCCCTTCACTCCTCCATGCTGAATCTAGACTAACATTAGATTGGAAAAGACAAAAAGTGGTGCTAGCTGAATGATGTAAGCAGAGACCCCTGACCACCATCCCATAAGGAACTGCAAGATCCCAAACTCATTCCTAGGAATGTGTGCCCTAAAATTCTATATCCTTGTATGTTTCCTTAATCAAGAAACTTGTGAAATTGTTGCAGTTGGGCAGAACATTTAGGAGCCCACTGAAGCAAGTCCATCAAAAAGCATGCTGTAGTTCAATAGAAGGCCTTTGAATTACTAAGCTTACTTCTTACACATCCAGCAATGATTATAGCTTCCTTTTCACCAACTAAAATGATCCAGCCCTAAGTATCCAATTTCCTATTTTTTCTTGAATCATAGTTAGGATGGGCTCACCAGGGAAAAGGGGAGCAATGCCATATGGAGGAAAGAGGACTAGATCAGAGTTTGATATAGCTTGGCCCACAGCACTTGCAAACTGGGAAAGGGGAAGGGAAAGAGAATTGGTAGAGTTGGTGCCAGTATACTCACTGTCTACTAGAGAGATTCTCCCAGTTTTTCAAGGACAAGTGAGTTTCCTCTTCCTCCCTATTCAACAAATGGATTCTGCTGGATAATTCCATGCCTTGAGGCATGTTCATATGAAGAGGAAACCACAGTGTTTTTCACATATCAAGCATTTAATAAATATTTATTAATTTGACTACACAAGGACTTCTCACTCTACTTTACCCTGCCTGCTAGAAGGTAAGACAGTTATTCACATAAGCCAGATATCTGTTTTCAAATTGCTTATCATTTGATTCAATGCAACAAATATTCACTTATTGGAATGTAAGCTCCTTGAGGGCAGGGCTATTGTCATTTGGTCTTTGTATCCTCAGTACCCAATATAAAACCTGGTACATAGTAGGACTCAATAAGTCATAACAGGAACTTGTTGAATAGTTAATTGGTTAACCACCTATTATGGGCAATGAACTGTGGTGGCTTCACAGAGAGAATATAGAGATGAAACAGGACATAGTCTCTGCCCTCAATGAGTTTATCAATCTAATAAGAGAAATCAGAAAAATGCACAAATTAATGTTCTGCTAGGAGGGCACAGAAGCAATCTGAAGAGAGGCATGTACGAGTTTCAAAGGTGAAAGGCTCACTTATAAAGGGAAACCTGGGAAAGCTTCATGATGGTAGCTCCTGGACAGGGCCTTGAAGGAAGAGAAGGATTTTAATCATCAAAAATGTGGAAGGTAATCATTCCAGGCATGTGGAACACTGTATGCAAAGGTAGGGCAGTAGGAAAGGGCTAGACAAGATTACAGAATCATGGTATAAGCTTCTAGCTGGAAAGGACCTTAGAGGCCATCAAATCCAACCCCCTCCATACATTTTACAAATAAGGAAACAGTAGCAAAGAAAAGTTATGTGACTTCTAGCTAGTAAATGTCTGAGGCAAGATTTCAACTGCAATCTAGTATACTATGCACTATACCAAAATAATCATAAAAATAATAAGAAGAAAATAATAAATAAGAAAATACTATTTGAATAACTACTATGTTTGTGATACTGTGTTCCACATAAAGACTGTTCAAAAGATTTGTTTTCATTTTACCGAAAATGTTCCAACTCTTCATTTTGGCAAGGTTGTGTTTCAAATGCTTCTCCAACACAGGATTTGCCACCTCCACTAGGATATGGATTATCACAGCTTCGTCTCCTTACTTTCATCCCTACCATACAAGTACTCCAAGGAGACCAGCAACTCCATCTTCCATCAACAATTCCTATTGGTCAAGAGACATGTAGGGTAAGAATGTGATACCTCAATAAGGGTAAACACTTTCTGAATTCTTCAGACCTTAAGTTTATATACCTAGTGTATTCATTAACTTGGGGCTGGGAGAGAACATATAATTGAAGACTTTCAATTATTTCCAAATCATTTGTCTGTGTACGATGCATTAAGAAGATATTTTCCAGACAATCCAATATGGTCCCTCACACTGGTTAAGAAGAGTTACAACAGAGCTCACTCCACCTTAGTAGCAACTACAGTAAGATCTTACATTAAGTACATAGTGCTTTCATTTGATCTTTTTTAATTTCAAATTTCAATTGATGTCTTTTGTTCTTAAATTACTTTCACTTCCAAATATATCATTGCCTACTCTTCCACCCAGTAAGGCATTCCTTGTGAGCAATAAATCAATCAACAAGCTTTTATTAATCACCCACTATGTGCCAAAGCAGTTTTGCATAATAAAGAATAAAAAAGAAAGAAAAAAAGTAATTCAGCAAAACCAACCAAAACATCAACAGAAGTCTCATATCATAAACAATATTCCACATCTGAGCCAAGATTCAAAACATTTGACTCCAAATCCGGGTCTCTGCCTTATGCCATGCTGTCCCAGTGAGAAAAAAACAGGGCTTAGAGAGCTTAAGAGACTTGCCTGAGGTAATTTAGCCCAAAAATTTGAAGGTAATATTCCAGGCATGGAGTGGGGTGGAGGATGAGCTAGAATCTAAATCCCATATTCTTAGTCATGCTTTTAAGATTACCCTCTACACTTCCTCTCAGTAACACTGGAGGAAAGTTAACTACCCCCTCAAAATTCATTTGCATAAGATTCTCTTGATTGGTTGAGATTAATGATCCAAAGTTCCAGGTCTGCCTGAGTGGTGGAGTTCATAAGAACCTGAAAAACAGGAGAGATCTTGTTCTTCTGCCTTCGCATCTTGAAGAGAGAAGTCATTAGGTACCATATTCTCTTCAGAGAGATATCCCTGAAGGAAAAGATTCTGGGAAGAAGTAGATATGCTTTCTCTCTTAAAACTGGAAACAAGAACACCAAGTTCTCTCCTCTCCATATGGACTGAGTACTCAACCAATCTCCACCAAATATTGCCAAAGCTACAGTCAGATGCCTAAGTGCCAAAAATAACTTCAGGAAAATAGAATGAATACTGACCTTCCTGACCTTCCACAAGGAATCCATGCTCACATGCAGCACCAAACGTGTAAGGTTTGCAGTGGCACTGGCACTGGGTTCCCACAACTACTGCCAGGCCACCATTTTTACAAGGCCTGCAATGGCAAGGGTCAAATTCTGCCAGATACTCCTCAATGGCTCTTTTCAGATATAGCCTTTTGACAGATGCACAGGGAACCTCCTTCACGAGCTCATATAGAGGTTTGAGCTATAAAGGTCAAGACAAGTTAAACACATGCATTACTTTAGGAAATAGCCTGCTAATTCTGTTTTGTTCTTTTTCTAAATCTAAAAGACAGCGACTCATTTTTTAAAAATTTTAATGAGATGATGGAAAATGATATCCACATCCAGAGAAAGAACTATGGAGTTTGAATGCAGATCAAAGCACACTATTTGCTCTTTTTTTTCTTCTGTTTTGTTTTGTTTCCTCTCTGTTGTGGTTCCTCTTATTGGTTCTAATTCTTCCTTGCAACTTGACTAATGTGAAAATATGTTTAATAGGAAAGTATATGTAAAGCCTATATCAGACTGCGCACTGTCTTGGGGAGGGAGATGGGGGGAGGGGGAGAAAAAATTAAAGCTCAAAAGCAAATGAAAGTGATTATTGAAAACTAAAAGTAAATTAATGATAATTTTTTTTAAAAAAAAAAAAAGGAAAAAAATTAATGAGAACTCAAGCAAGTCAAGATGAGCCAGGAGAGGGGCAGCTAGGTGGCACTGTGGATAGAGCACTGGCCCTGGATTCAGGAGGACATGAGTTCAAATCTGATCTCAGATACATAACACTTACTAGCTGTGCGACTCTGGGCAAGTCACTTAACCCCATTGCCTAACCAAAAAATAATAATAATAATAATAAAAGATGAGCCAGGAGATGGTGAGTCTTCTATAAGAAGAAAGAGAAAATAATGCCTTCAAGTAAATGAAGGATTATGAGGAAGTTGTGATCCAGCAGCTCTCCATTTCTACCAAGGGAAGAACAAAAGAAAATTGACTTGAAATGCAAAAGAAGAATAATACGTGACACCCATTAAGATCAAGTGAAGATTTTTTCAGGGCAGAGGAAACATGAGCACGCTTGTAGGCAGTAGGAAATGAGCTAATTGAAAGGGAGACATTGAAGATAGGTGAGAAAGGGGATGGCAGAGGGCACAATCTATTGAAGGGGATGGGATGGAATGAGGTTACTTGAACAAATAGAGTCACACAGCTACCAGGTAGAAGATCCAGGATCCCAACCTAGGTTTGCTGACTCCAGACCACAAGTATGTTTCCGCTATACCTCAAGACCTCAATTAGCGGAATAAATTGTTTGTCTTAGAAGGATGATTGAAGGATTTAATTGAAGAATGAGAAGCCCATAAAGGTACCTGGAGAGCCTTAAAAAAATAGAAACACGTATCAGTCTGCCATAGATATAATAGATTTAGACCCCTTGGAGGAAGGAGGCAAGACCAAGTGACCTGCTCTCTGAGGCTTTGGCTCCTTTTGAGTAGAGGGCCAAGGAAAAACCCAAACAAAAGTAGCTGATGATTAGAAATAGAAATTCTGTGGCAAATTTCCCTTGCACTGTATTTAGCATTAAACTTTTCCTGATAAAATAGGAGCACACCTGACAATGTATCTACAATTCTTTATTATTATGTATGCATACATTTTATTGTATGAAACAAAATTTGACTGTAGGAAATGCTAATTAGAGTAGTCTCCATTTAGCCATCTCATTTTACTGGCACAAATAAACATATCTGCCCCCTGCTGCCTTAAGTAAAACATCACCTACCTTTTGTTTTATTATTTGGGGATACTGCCCCACAGTTGCAGCCCATGAAGCATACCGGGCTCTATTTCCAGCAGGATCGTCTACATTTATATAACTAAGACCAGCTACCAAAGCTGGGCTTCCTCCCTTGACAACTGCATTACCACGGAGCAAGTTGTCTTTTGTTCCTATATAAGAAGGAATTAAAAATGTCAAGTAAGGATATATAAACGCATATAAAATGAAAATTCCAGCAAGCATTCACAAAAAATGCACAGCATTCAGTATTAAAGAAGCATAACATACAAAATATAAGTACATCTTAATTAACATCTTAATTAACACAAAATGGGCTATGATCTGAACCTTTGAAAGGAGTAGCTGCATCAGTGATTCAAAGTTTTTCTGATCAGTGGAATTGCTGTTCCCAAATCAGCTTGAAATCCCAGGTCTTGGATTTTAATTAGGAGGCATCTAAAGGCTCTCTCAATCTAGATTATAGACATGCCCATTGGCACCTTGCTGAAAGGCACAAGGAATTTCTGATGATTGGCTGACTGAGACTAGAGGACAGACCCCTGTTAGAGGTGTGGCCCCTCTTTATGGACTAAAAATCAAGCTGTAAGACCTTCTCTCTAACTGTCTCTCACTCTCCCTTGGACTTTGAGAAGACAGACCAGAGTGCAATAGAGAAAATCTCTGCTCTGGGGAGTTTGAGTAACCTGTGCTCATGTGCAGTTTTGTTCTTCAAGAAGCAGATCACAGAAGAAGCACAAGACATGGTAGATACAACATTGCACATGTCCTTGGATGTGAAACTAAACTGTACAAACGCTATAACTCAGTGATACCAGTACTAGGCCCATACCTGAGTTGTATAGGGTCACATAGCCGGTATTCAGGAGAGGTAACACTTGAATCCAAACCTTTTTGGATTCAAAGCCAGCTCCTCATTAACTAAGCCACAATGTCTCTCAGTAGAAAAGAAAGGATGTATCTGAATAGATGAAAACCAAGAAAGGAAAAACATCTATGAAAGTCCATTTAAAATCTCTCATTGGAAAGGTCCCAGAGTAAGAACAAGAGGCAAACCTATAGTTTGTGTGCAGGGATTCAGACTGAAGAATTACTCCTATGAAGGGAAGGAGACCAGAGGGAGCTGAAGCTTGAGAACTCATTGAACTCACCGTAGAAAGCAGAAACACTGAGGGCTGTCTGGCACAAATGATGGGTTCTGCTTTCTATGCCCCAATGCCCTCCAGTACACCAAAATGTATGACAAATTAGATCTCTCTAAACTAGAAGAATTTGACAGGAAGAAAACAAGCCCAGAACAGAGGACAAGAATACACTTTCTTCAAAGGAAAACATTGGGCAAAAGAAGGAATGTGTCAAGTCCTCATAGAGATGGGACCTCTTAATGGGAACAGAATAAAAGCCTTGAAAAATTTATTGTTTCAGCTTGAATATTATTTTTTAGCTTATAGATATAAAGAATTATTCCAATTATTAATCTGTCTTCATTCACTTGTGTTTTAGAAGAGAGAAAGAAACAAGTGATCCTCTGGGAATCTTCCGACCTAATATATTCTCCACTGTTACCCAGCGAACATCTGCTATCAATGCTAACCTAATAAGGTAGATTATTCAAGAAAGAGTACTAGGGGAAAGATTAACAGAAGAAGCTTGTGGGTATGGGTGCCCTCATATACTGGGCTAAATTTCCATCACTCTGGCATAAACAAGGGTCCCTGATTATAATATAATATAATATAATATAATATAATATGATATAATATGATATAATATAATATAATATAATATGATAATATATGATAATATATATGATATAATAATATGAATATGATATAATATGATATAATATGATATATATATATATGATATAATATAATATAATATAATATAATATAATATAATATAATATAATATAATATAATATAATATAATATAATATAATATAATATAATACAATATAACATATTGTATTATATTATATATTAATCCTATGCATTGGCTATAGAGTAGCCAACATTTTTCTTTAGCTTTATCAAGTTTAATATTGCTTCAAAAGTTAGAAGATTTCAAATAGCAAATGAGCACTAAGAATGTGAGAGACTGCAACAGAGAAATAGAAAGAAAATGTTGCATACAACAAACTGACTCCTTTACCTTCAGTTAGAAAAAACTGGATATGACATATCTCTGGCACTTTTACAAACACTGATCATATTTTTAAGTTAATGAGCAAATTGATGAAGGCATTGAACTCACCTGAAGCCAACTTTAATAACTCAATAAGTTCCTTGCATTTCTGCTTAGATACTTTAACAATAAAAAGATTCAAGTTTTGTGAGGTACATTCCTGCATGGCAAGAAAGCTAAAATCTAGAAGAAAAAAAATATAATTAATTTTCTGGATTAACTTAAAATTTCATTTGTTTTGTTTTGTTTTTTCCTTCCTTTATGACCATTACTACTTGGGACATCTCAACTAATCAAATAATGTATGTGAAAAACATTTGGTAAACTGTAAAGCAATATTAAAATGTACAAAAATATCTAAAGCAGTGCTTTTTATGATGGCAAAGAAATGGCAACTGAGAGAATACCCACCAACTGGGGAATGGATGAACAAATTGTGGTATAAGAATGTGACAGAGTACTATTGTGCCATAAGAAATGATGAAGTGGATGGTTTCAGGACAACCTAGGAAGACCTATTTAGACTGATGTAAAGTGAAGTGAGCAGAATTAGGAAAATAATCTATACAGTAACAGCAACATTGTAAAGCTATATGAGTTTGAAAGGCTTAGTAATTCTGATCAACACAATGACCCATCACAATTCCAAAGCATTCATAAAGGAATATGCTATCCATCTCCAAATAGAAAGTTGATACATTCAGAGTGCACATTTAGGCATATTTCTTTTCTCGCTTTTTGTAAAAATATAGACAATGCAGAAATCTGTTTTGCACAACCACACGTATTTGTAATTTTTTCCCCTTGCCTTCTCAATGAGTGGGGGAGGAAGAGAATTTAAAATGCAAAAAATAAAAATAAATCTGTGCTTTTTAAAAATTTAATTTAAGGAGCACAAAATGGCTAATCTTGGAATATTGTTATTCAGTTGTAAGGCTGAAAAATAAGTACTTTTCATTACTTTTTAAATGGAGAAGATTACCTCTTAAAACAACCTAAGGATAATCTGTGAATGAGTTTTTTTAAGGAAACACTGAAATGTAGTAGCCTCGGGAAAAATTGTTTTGTTTCTGTGCCAACTTTGGTCATTGTGAAATGTAAAAAATACATTGTAAGAATAGTAGATAATGTTGCAAAATGCATTTCATCTGAGGAGCAACAGGACCTAATGAAAATCTGACCAGGTTTCACATCCTTCCCACGGGTTTACTGTTGCTTCCTAATTATAGGAGTTGATCTTTACATCCCAGAAGACAAAAAGCAAACTAGTATCAATAAATGAGGGTATCATAGCAAGAAGAGGATAAAACAACATTCTTGGATGTATAAGAATATGGGACGAGGTATCAGTCGTGAAGGAGAAAGCATTGAGTAAAGCAGTTAGTCCTGAGACTGCAGAGTCAATCTTGTTAGATAAGGAAGATAGACATCAGTCAATAAATATTTATTAAGCACCTAATCTCATGCACCCTGGAGGTTGTATAGAAACATAAGAAATTATTCCTCCTCTGAAAGAGGTCCCAGATTAGCTGGGGAGAGAAGACAAATACAACCAATTATATCAGGTGCTAAATAAATGTCAGATGAGGAATACAAACAACACTTTTCATAGAAACTCTGAAGATGAAGAATTTGTTTCTGGCTAAGGTAACCAGAGAAGACTTCATGAAGGAAATGGGAAAAATATAGGCTTATAAAAATTGGTAGGATTATCTTGGTAAAGAGAAGTGAGGGCATCCCTGGTGGGGAAAATTGTGAGTAAAGGAGCGGAAGTGGGGAAAAAAGGTATAAGTAGGAGAAAGAGTAAAAACAGTCTAGAAAGTATAGGGTTAAGGGGCAGCTAGGTGATGCAGTAGATAGAGCAACAGCCCTGGAGTCAGGAGAATCTGAGTTCAAATCTTGTTTCAGACCAGACACTTGACACTTATTAGGCAAGTTACTTAATCCCAATTGCCTTGCCAAAAAAAAAAAAAGGATAGGGTTAACACAGGAGAGTAATATAAAATGTGGTTTCTCTCTTAATTGCTTCTGGTAGGATGATTTTAACTCGAGGCAATTAACATAACTTTCTCCTGGCTGTGTGGAAAGTGGTGCTGCACAAGTCCTCATTCTACCAAATCCAGATGTTTCCAAAGAAAATGCATGTGTTTACAATTTGGGGAGAATACAACTTTGTTCTATAGGAGACAGAAACTGATTGACCCTGAAATTCTTAGGTTTCTGAGAACACCTTGAACACTACTAGTTCTTTTGTCCTATAACATCATTTCATGGGATGTTGGTTCATCAGAAAAGACAGCATTCCGGGGATGGGAGATAGCTCATACAAAGGCATAGAAATGGGAAATAGAGTATGGCATGTGATAAACAGGGAAAATGCCAGTTTTGGGTAGGTCACAGAGCACAGGAAGGGGAATAATATGCAACTAAGTATAGAAGAACAGCACAATTTTAATAATCATACCATGTTGCTTCATTTTTTCCGTGTCTATATAAAAGAGAACTTTGTACTCTCCTCCTAGGGACCCAGACTGTAGATAATGAGTCCCATACAATTCAATTATTCTTCGATATGAACTATAGTCATATAGAGAAGGGAGGTGTAAGAGATCTTTCCAAAAGAGTTCAGCAAGATTTAAAAATTCTGGCTGGTTGTTAATGAACTGAGCTACTTCAACACTGTTCTGGATAACCATCAGTTGATAACTCTAAAGGAAGAACAAAAATAAATTAGAATGGTCCATCCCCAACATGCACCTCACCCCACTCCCCATCCTCTATCAACCCTGTTCATGATTTCCCTATGATGTTCCACAACTGACCCTTCTGGATATGACAATCAAGGAGCCTTCTGGAGTTCTCATCTCCAAAAAGAATCCCAGAGTGGAATGGGGACAATGCCTTTTTCCTTAAATGGACTCCATGGGGGTAAATCGTATTTCTTCTCAAATTTGGATGGGAAGCACAGAGTCACTCAGTTAATGTATATGAACTAAATTCATGAAGTATTAAAACAATCTTAAAGATATTTACCCTAATGCTGTCCCTTGGGAAACAGAATATTCTAGAGGCGAAATAAAAAGGTCCTTTTAGTACTTCAGTAACTAAATCCCCTTAGATCAGGTCCAAGGTAAATCTACCCTCTACGGAATCCCCTTCATAACCAATAGTGGTCCACCAAAGTTTAAAATTTTTTGTGGGTCAGTCATTTTTCAGTCATACCCAACCCTTTATGACCTTATTTGATGAGTTGGTTTGGCAATTTCATCTCCAGTGGACCCAGTGGATCATTTTGTCAGGCAATCACAGATTAAGTGAATTGCCCAAGGTCACACAGCTAGGAAGTGTCTCAGGCTGGATTTGTACTCAGCTCTTCCTGACTTTGGGTCCAGTGCTCTATCCACTGAACCACCAGCTGCCTCTCCTAAAATTTTTACTGGTCCACCAAAAAAAAAAACATTTTGCCATTTCACTCATTCATCCTACCATCACATACTCGGGTAGTAAATGTTCCCTTTTGGCTTGAATTATTAGGAAAGTGATTATCTGCAAAGAGTGCTATAAGATATGCACATTATGAATAATAATCACCCCCCAACATGTCTAAGCAAACAAGCACATAGTCATTAACTCAACTCATCTCAATTGTTCATTTTTCCCTAGATAGATGCCTAAGAGACTCAAGACCATTCAGTTATCAAGTGTTTTAGAAGCTTCAGATTTCTGAGGAAAAATCCGTATCCCAAACTTTTCAAAAACCTCTTTAGCCTCAAAGGTTACTTTGTCCAACATAATTAACATTCTCTGGTTATGTTGATGCACACACCAGTTTGAAACTACAAAAGGTGACTGAAAAAGGTACAGAGAGTGACCATGAATTTCTTTACTTTATAAGGGTCAGGAGAATCTTAGTAGCTTCAACTATAAAGTTAAGGAGTTTTCTCCAGTGGGAAACTTTTTCAAATGCATCAGTTTTCTGTCAAAAACAAAAGGCCCAAGAGATTGAACAAGTACAGGATCTTTAATAAGAGAATCAAATTGTAAATAAATTCCTTATCAATACAATATAATAATAAGAATGCTCAAAGAATAGATTATTTTGTCATCTTCATAGTAGGATATATTTATTTTTTACAAAGAAAATGAAAACACCCTTTTATTAAGTTAACTTTTGCTAAATACAAAGTTAATGATCCACAGAAACATCATATTTTAGTTAATACAAAAGTACCATTCATTAGTGGCACCAGTTGACTATTGCTAAAGGAAATTATTCTCATCCATTGACTTCTACATATTCTACCAGTTTTACTAACCTTTTTATTTTGGTTTTCATTTTTACTTGAGTCATGCCGGTATCCACTATTTGATGTAAAATGAGTCTCCTTGTGTTTGATATAAGACCAACTACTATTGTAAAATTCATGACTGAAATCATTATCTACTTTCACCTGGAAGGAAAACAGAAACTTTTATTTATAGCTAACTCTGGCCTCAGAAGTTACAAAGAACAGCTATTACCATTTCTATCCCTGGAAACACTTTTGCCCATTCCCATTACTCTGGAGGCTTCTTTTCCCTGTGTACAAAATGCAAAACAAAGATCTTCACTTCACAACATTAGGCTGTGCCATAGGATTACAACAAGAAAGGCAGTAATGAGAAAGTGATCTATTATGCAAGGAACATGGTATCAATAAAAGCATTTCCAAAATGTAGCAACTATATAATCCTAGACAAAATGCTGTCTGTTTTTCTTAGCGACAACATTTACATAATACTGAGCATAATAACAATGTCTTGGGCAAGTGACTAATACATTTAGCTTGTTAAGGATCTGACTCAATGAGCGGAGGGGAGGGGTAGGATGAGCAAAGGAGCAAAAAAAATCCTGTTTGGAATGGGAATGTATTAAATGATTTTGTAACAGATTGAAGTATTGAATTACATTTTACTTGCTTAAGGAAATGTTCATACTAGTTTAATTTTCCTAATGGTGTATGTTACCTGAGCAGAGAAAAGGAGAACTCACCAGGAAGTATGTGCTAGGTAGTAGAGTCATTCTAGATTTAAAATTGCACGTTACCCATATGTAGATAATCAAGGGTAGACTGACTGCAGTAACAAAGGGATATTCATTCATTCAATATATGTATGCTGAGCACCTACTTTGTGTGAGAAACTGTAAGAAATATAAAGAAGGATGAGACCATCTCTGCACTTCTGAAAAATATAAGCTAGGGGCAGTTGGGCAGTGCAACTGGCATTAGAGTCAGGAGGACTCTAATTTGGCCTCAGACTACTAGCTGTGTGACCCTGGGCAAGTCACTTAACCCCAATTGCCTCCAAAAAAAAAAAAGGAAAGAAAGAAGGAAAAGTATAGGCTAGTCAGAGGTATAGGACATGCACACAAAAGTGGATACCATGGGAATAAGGATTTGTCCTATAATTTCACTGATATAAGAAACTCCTAGATTAAAATAACTACCTCTGCCAATGTTGAATGGCACCTTCTTTACAACTTACAGTCTTACAGTTTTCTGCCTAGATCACCATGAAGCCAATTTGTGACCAAGACAGGACTTGAATTTGAAGTCTCCCTGACTTATAAGTTAGAGTACCTATCCAGTGGTCTATACCATGTTGCCTTTCTACACTGTAACTAGGATACTAGATATAACATGAAAGTATAATAAAAGTGAGTCAAATAAGTTCAGAGAATAGAGAGAACATAAAATCAGAGAAAACTAGAGGAGACAACATTTAAACTGGACTGTGAAGGATACATTGGAAATGGGTAAATATCAAAGGAGGGGAAGGAAAACAATAGAAATTCAGGCAGAGGCACCAGTTGCCTAAGCAGAGATAGGAAAATATGTCACATGTTTGAGAAATAACAGTAGTAGAACAAATAAGGTCAATGGCTATCATCCCTAGTAATCCAACCACATCAGGTCATTTCCCTAATTCCTTCCCACTTATTCAGAGAGAGATATCAACTAACAAACTTCCCTACCTAGAAGTCCTCACTCTCTGAGGAATACAAAGATAAGACATATTTCCCTTGTGCCAATCCCACACCATATTGCTTTTTTGGTTGCTATATCTATGTAATACCTTGCCACCTACAAACTTTACTGACAATCTTTTAAGTGGTCAGGGGGCAAAGTCTTCCTCTTAAGTTCAAAAAGTAAGCTTCATCAGTATGTGATGAGAGAGGTATGGCTAGGCAGCAGTTAATCTGCAAAGGATCTCGGTGGTGAATCAAAAGCTCAAACTGAGTCAAAAGTTAGATATGTCAACCAAAAAAAAAGCTAATAAAAGGATTAAAAGAGGAAGAGTGTCTAGGAATCATTAAGGAGGCAATACCCTAGTCATCTGCACTGATCTAGTCAGACCACATCTGGAGAATTGTGTACAAGTCTAGCTATCACATTTTTAGTGAGGACACTGATACACCAGAGAATGTCCAAAAGAAAGCAAACAGAACATGGGTTCTGAGTCCATGCCAAATGAGTATCATTTGAAGGAAAAGGGCTATTTAGCATGGAAAAGAGAAGATGAGGGAAATAACATAGCTCATTTCAAGTATTTAAAAAATTGTCATATAACAAGTGATTAGATTTGTTCTAATCTAAGCAGGGAGAGTGGAGCAAACTAAGAGAAATGGATAGGGGTTATAGGAGCTTATTAGGTTTTACGTCAGGAAACTTTGCTCCCAATGAAAGCTATGCCAAAATGGAATAAGATGCCTTGGGATGTTACAGGGCCCCCTTACTAGCTGCAGAAAAGTGGTTGATCCCCATTGGCACAGGGACTTTCCTCACTGGTAGGAATTCTCTACTCCAATGACATTACAATTCCAGATTTTAGAAAATAAATAGTAATAACTACCTAGAAGAGAATTATCCAGCCCTCTGTTCTGCCACAACTTGCCTGGATGGATAATCAGCAATGGCTTTTTGATTATCTAGACTTACTTTCCTACTATATCCAGACTGGAAGCTTGGGGTATGGTACTCATATTACTGATTTATTATCTACTGTGTTTATAAGTGGCTATAAACCCAGAAGATGCCTTGATCATGGAATAGTCTTGACTGAAGGGTTCACTCTGTGAGTTGATGTGGGAGGATGCCCCGCATGTCACATCTATTTCAATGCCTTGTTCTCTCAAATCAACAATCAACAGTTTAGCTCAATATAAAGGAAAACTTCCTAACAATTAACATTGCCAAAAGCTATCATTTGGGTTGCTTTTAGCACCAGTTAGTAAGCTGAGATACCCTCTGCCAAACCTTCCCTAGCTCAATAACTTGATTAAGTGTTGGGTTGCAAAGGTCTTCCCATACACGCAAAATCTGAGAAGTACAATATTGGTTCTGGTGGAGAGATGGTGAAACTAGCCTTCTTCCTCTCAATAGAAGTATGGGAGTATGGATACTGACTGCTGCATATACAATCAAATCTACTGGCTCAGCTAGTTGATTTTACTTAATTGTTTCTTTGCAAAAAGTAGGGGTCTACAGGAGGTGTGGGGATCAGAAAATTGATAGAGTACAAAAAAATAGAAAACATAAAATATTTTAAAAACAGAACAAAGCAAAAAGTACGAGTAATAAAATGTACATTGACAACCCATCAAATAATTAAATTATATTAAAGTAGGTATTTATAGTCAATAGATTTGAAAACTAGATTTTTCTCTAAATAAACTACAATAGACATGATCTATCTACGCTAATATAATTGACCAACTTTCTTCTGGGCTCTATATACACATAACTCCAAAAGGCAGCCAGGGCACAGCAGAGAGAGAGAGAGATGGTCTGAGAATCAATGAGACCTGGGTTCAAATTCCTGCCTCAGAAACCTACTTACTAGCTGTGTGACCAGAGCCAATTCACTAGCCTCTCATGCCCTCAGGCACCACCCCGGCAAGATTATAAATCTTAAAACAGGTGGCGATCCTCATTAGCAGAGGGTGTTTACTCACTAGTAGAAGTTTCCTCTTCCAATGGAATTATAGGTCCAGACCAAAAAATGCACCAACTACTTACTATAGAGATAATTACCTCTACCATACCTGCCTAGATGCTCAGTAGATGCTTTTTGATTGTCTAGACATAGCTCTGCCTCCTACTGCATCTAGATAGGCAGACTGGAGTCTGGGACTCATGTTACTGACTCATCATCCTACTATGGTTTTAAGTGAATTTGGAGTCATAGCATACCTTGAACCTGGGAATAGTCTTCCCTAGGGGATCCACTCTGAATCTGTTCTCTCAAAAAAATTAATACATCTGATAAAATTTGAAAATTTAAAAATAAAAATTTTAATTTGATAAAAACAAATTTAGCTCAGTGTAAAGAAAAACTTCCTAACTATTAACACATCAACAACTGTCCTTACAGGCTTTTCTCAAGACCAGTGTAAACTGAATTACACTTTCCTGAACCTTCCCTGGCTCAGGGACATGATTAAGTTTGGATTGCAAAGAGTTTCTTCCAACTATCCACCTCACTTTCCCCCAGTCTAGGACCCTCAAATTAGCCCCTTTCCTTGTTCTACCACAAGCTGAATTTCCCCTCACTTCTGTCAAACCTCTTCAAATTCAGTGACTTGAAAGTCGTTTTAGATGCCACTCCAAAAACTATGCCATACTGTAGGAAACAGAAGCCAGGCTGCATGCTGTTAACTCAATTATTCCTCCTCTTCAGGATGGTACTTTCCAACAGAGTTGGAAATTCTCCTGTTTGTTATTTTTCCTCTTCTTGCAACTTTTCTGAATTTATAAAATAGAATGGGTCATTCTCAAAGTGCCTTGAGAAGGTGCTGGTAAGGTGGTAAGGCACAGTCCTAGGAGAAGGTAGGAAAAAAATGATTCTAAAATTCTAAATTCTAAAAATGATTCTGATTCTAAACCTATCCTGTCGGCTCTCCTGCAGCCTTTCCTTCTCATAATAATGTCCGCTGAGACTCCAACATTTTCAGAGATCAAATAACAAGATATACATTTTCCCATCATGACAGGAAGAGCTGAACAAAGCTGATCACAGAATCTCAGAATATCAGAGTTGCAAGCCCTTTGAAGCCAAGTCAATAAGCATTTATTAAGCACCAGCTATGTGCTAGGAACTATGCTAAGGGCTGAGGATTCCAAGAAAGGCAGAAAAAGATCACTGCTCTTAAGAAGCTTACGTTCTAATGGGGGAAACAACATTAAAATATCTATGTACATATAAGACACAGGATAAATTGTGGGTCATCTCAGAGGGAAGGCACTAGCATTAAGGAGACCTGGGAAAGGTTTTTTTTGCAGAAAGTGGAACTTTAGCTCAGACTTGAAGGAAGCCAGGGAAGGCAAGAGGTAGTGATGATGAGGGAAAGCAATCTAGACATGGGGAGGGGGTGGGGGTAGAGCCAGTGAAAAGGCACAGAGTCAGGAGGAGTGCCTTTTCTGAGGAATAACAAGGAGGTTGTGTCCCTGGATAACAGAATACATGGAGTGGAGAAAGGAATAAGAAAACTAGAAAGGTAGGAGGGAGCCAGATTATATCTGATCTTGGAGGTGATAGGGAACCACTGGAGTTTATTGACTTGAATGTGGGGGAAGAAGGTGACATGGTCAGACCTGCACTTGAGGAAGGTCAATTTGACAGCTGAATGGAAGGTGGGCTGGGGTGGGGAGAGATTTAAGGCAGGCAGACCCTCCAGCAGACTACTTCAGTCATCCAGGCATGAGGTGTCTGGAGCACCTGGGTTCAAATCTTGCTTCTGACATATTAACTGTGTGATCCTGGGTAATTCACTTATCCATAATGATAGCACCTACCTTGTAAAGTGAAATAATGTAGGCAAAGCATTTTGTAAACCTTAAAGCCTTACTTCAATTTTAGCTTCTATTGTGGATTGTAATCTTGTTTTAAAGCCTGAATACTAAATGTAGCACTCAAGGGACTCCTAACCAGTAAATCTCTAGTCAGCTGTTCTAGGTACGTTGTGAGTCAGAAACTGCATCTCATAGACCCCACCAATATGGGACTAGTCCCTTTTTTCTCCCACATCACCTTGTCTTAATTTTTTAACTGTCTGTGCGTGCATGTGTTGCCTCTTCCAATGAAACATAAGCTTCCTGAAGGCAAGGAATGTTTCATTTTTGTTTTTGTGTTCCCAGTATCTAGCACATTTCTTGATACATAGCAGGTGCTTAATAAATCTTTGTTGATAGATTCAGACCAGTTAGCCAGAGGATGGAGTTTATAAGAAAGGCAACAGCAATAGGAATTGTACCTGTGATTTCATTGGTATGGGAAGTCCTGGGTGAGGAAATTTCCTATAATAGATTAGGTCGCCACCTTCTCTGTGTTAGAATTACCTAGAGAACTGAGAATTACCTGTCTAGACTAGATCTCAGAATGAATGTAGCCCAAGTATTCTATCTCACTCTTTAATTTTATGTAGACTGAGAGACCTGGTCAGAGACCAGTCTGTAACATGTTGTGGAGCGGAAGGGCCTGAAAAGTCACCAGACTATTCAGTCTGTCTAGCCAGCCCAGACATCCTAAACGAGAATAACCTGTTCAAGATCACACAGCCAGTGTGTCAGAGGCAGAACTTGAACCCAGGTCTTTCTGGCTCTGAGGCTGGCTCTCCATTCATTACACCATGATTCTTTTATTTCTGAAGTAGCGTAGTAATAAAATAATAATCTAATATTTCCTCCAATATCTGAATCTTGAGTTCACTTTCACACAAATATACACATTCTCAGTGCAGTAGAATTACACAAGAATGACATGTGGGATAAATATACAAGAACAAGTGTGGCCAGAGCATTTGTGGGGAGGGGCATGTATGAAGGTAACATATGTGATCAGAGTACATGCACAGAAGGGAAAATCATATGCCCATAATTAAAAAGTTGTGGGTGTCTTCTGGTAGAAGTAACTGGACTTCTTTTAACTGGATCTGCTCCATACCAGGTGTTGCTCTCCATTGAGCAAGCCACCATTCATTGTACCTGAACTGACCCCTGTTGGGGTCAGTTTAAAATTTGCACTTTAAAATTTGCAAAGCAATTTATAAATATTATCTCATTTGATCCTTTCACAATAACTCCAAGAGACACACGCTATTATTATCACCATTTTACAGATGAGGAAGCTGAGGCAGTTCTAAAGCCAAGCTGAAACTCAGGTCTTCCTGATTTCAGGTCCAGAGCTCTATCTACTTTGCCACTTAGCTTCTCAAATAAGGAAGGATTATAGGAGTATCCATCTAAAGCTAAAAGGAACCTCAGTGTCCCCTTTAACCCAATCCCTTCACTTTAGAGATAAGGAAACTGAGGTTCAAAGTGGTTAAGTCACCAGACCATACATGTAGTAAGCATCAGAGGCAGAATTTGAATCCAAATCTTCTCACTCCAAAGCCAGTAGTCTCCATCGTACCATTTTTTTCAGTCATTTTTCAATTATGTCTGATTCTTCATGACCCCTTTGGGGGTTTCTAGGCAAAGATACTGGAGCGGTTTGCCATTTCCTTCCCCAACTCATTTTACAGATGAGGAAACTGAGGCAAACAGGGTTAAGTGACTTGCCCAGGGTCACAGAGCCAGTATGTTTCTGAGACTAGATTTGAACTCAGGAAGATAAAAATTCCTGACTCCAGGCCTGGCACTCTATCCACTGTATCAACATAGCTTCCCACTATACCATGCTGCCCCTCAAACAGCTCTGCCTGAACCATAATGAATGTCAATATAGAGAAATCATGCATGAGAGATCCAAGGAGGCCAAAGATGTAATATGTGTTCCTTAAAGAAGAGAAGGGAAACAGAAGCTCAATAGTTAAATCAAATACCTGAAATGTGTAGGAGAGGACATTTGCACTCAGCCGATAGTATTCTTTCTGATCACCACTGAACACCTTTCTACACTGACCACCAAAACTTTTTGTGTTGATAACTGTGTCCTTAATCTGGTCAGTTAGCACATTAAACCTGTAATGAGAGAGGAGACTCTTTTAAACCAAAATGACAATTGCTGGAAAAGCACGAGTTAGAGAGGTCTTTAAACTCTAAAGCTCATTACCGCTAAGCATCTGCTCCATTGAGCTCAGATAGAGAGGACAGACCACTAATGCAAACCGTCTCTGAAACATTTTCCACATGTCTATACTCTGTGTAGTCACTAACACTAATGTATGGAAAATAAAACAGATTAAGGGCATATTTGCTACACCAGCTGCAGCACAGTGGTTTCCATGGCAACAGTTTATGTCTACAGCTATATCTATAGCTAAAATTAGCCCAGTTAAAAGACCAACCAATAAGCCACTCTCCATCGTACCAGAGCTAAGGTGGCTCTTAAGGAGGGACGGTTCCCTAAAATCAATGGAAACTAATTACATTTTGGCAATTTGACTTCTAAAATGAGTCCATCCTAGCCCTTCATGTATACTATGTTTTAAAAAAAACTCATTGTGAGAATCATTGATAACTATCATTTTCATATGGATCATTTCAAAGCTTTCATGGCTTATTATAAGTATAGGAAGATATAAGTGGTCTTCAGAATTTCCATGGAATAGGAAAACTTGAAGCTACATTAGAAGGTTGACTTTGGGCAACACACCTCACTTTCTGGGCCACAACTTCCCCACCTATAAAATGAAAGAGTTCAATTAAATGAACTTGAAGGTGCTCAGTGCAGTTTTTTTCCAACTTTTCTTTTAAAATTAAAGTGTCCTTAGAAAAAATATACTATCTTGACTGAAGGAAGCATTTTCCAACCACTGAGGCACAACACATTGGCTTCTTCGCTTGCAGTTCTTGTGCTCTCTCTCCCTCTCTCTTTCTGTGTATGTATTTGTGTCTGTCTGTCTGTTTTGTCTTCTTTGATTCTCCAGTCTGTTGTCCCATTTTCATCAAGGGTGTTCCTTTTCTCCTAATCTTCTCTTGTTTATGTTCTTCCCATCATATATACAAATCAACAAGGACAAAGGAAAAAGTTTGACATACCTTTCCTTTAAGTGATAACTAAATGTCTATGAGCAAATGGATAAGACTAGAAAAGAGAACAGTATTAGCTTAGACTCATGTAACTAATACAAGAATGGAGCCACTGATGCTAATCAATGGACATAAGGTAGGGCCCTGCATCTTACCCTGCTCCAGTATATTCTATGTGAGGAGGAGGTCTATCAACATCACACAAAGGTTTGCCTTCAGGGAGCTCACATCGATCTTCATCGCTGCCATCTTCACAATCTCGATCTCTATTACAAACCAATGATTTGCTAAGACACTGACCTAAATGCAGGGAACAAAGGGAATAGAAGATGAAAAATCAATCGCCCCATTTTCTGAATTATTTCAAATGTCCTTACACATGTACTTCCCAGGCAGTATAATGTGTATATAATGCAAGGCCCTCCAGTGTCACAGTGAAGGCTGACAGTCTTTATTATCCCTGTTTTACAGAAGAGAACTTAATGACACAGGAATTTCATTAGCCCTGGGCTACATGTTACAACCGAGGCAAGACCTGAGGTCAGAACTCCAGGCTCTTGATGTAGTTTTGTTTGTTTGTTTTCCTAGAGGCCTGGCACAGTGGAAAGAAGGCTGGATTTGGAGTCAGTGGACCTGGGTTTGAATACCAATTCTGACACTTATTGCCCACATGACTTTGGGCAAATCACATAGCCTTCTTCCTGGGCCTTATCTTCCTCTTTGTAAAGTGAGGGGGCTGGACTAAAAGGCTTCTTATCAACCTATTTCTAAATCAACCGTCATCAAGTATCTGAAGTGCTTTCATCTGGGATAAAGGGGTTTAGATTTGCCTGTTTGTTCACAGAGGTCATAACTAAGAGCCAATGGATGGGTAGCAGCTAAGTGGCATGGTGAATAGAGCACTGGACTTGGAACCAAGAAGACTCATCTTCCTGAGTTCAAATCCAGCCTCAGACAGTTCCTAGCTGTGTGACCCTGGGCAAGTCACTTGACCTTGTTTGTCTCCGTTTCCTCATCTGTAAAATGAGCTGGAGAAGGAAATGGCAACCCACTCCACTATCTTTGCCAAAACACAAACAAACAAACAAACAAATGGGGTCACGAAGAGTCAGACACAACTGAAACAACTGAACAGTAAAGCTGCCAGAAGACTATTTCAAGTTTGATGTAAGGAACACACAGAATCATCCCTAACATACAAAACTGCCCAAAAGTGGAATGGGCTTCCTCAGAAGATAATGGGTTTCCCCTTACTGGAAGTCTCCAAGAAAAAGCTGGAAAATCAACTCTGAGTAATGAGTACCACAGGACCATTGGACCTGGAAGAGACCTTAGACATCGTTTAATCTGACTCCTTTCCTTTTATAGATGGGGAAACTAAGGCTCAGAGAGGCTAAGTGACTTGTCAATAGTCACACAGCTAAGGTACAGACATAATAACTAGAACCTTAATATTCCCGACTCCAGGCCAGCATTTTAGCCACCATACCATTCTATTTCTCATTTGTGTTATAGAGCAGAGATTCTTTTTTTTAAATATTTTTTTTTAGGCAATTGAGGTTAAGTGACTTGCCCAGGGTCACACAGCTAGTAAGTGTCAAGCGTTTGGTCTGAGGCCGGATTTGAACTCAGGTCTTCTTGACTTCAGGGCCGGTGCTCTATCCACTGTGCCACCTAGCTGCCCTAGAGCAGAGATTCTTAAACTGAGGTCTTTGTGTCTCCCAAAAGGTCTATGGATAGATTTCAGGGATTTTGTGAACGTAGATGAGAAAAAAAATTTATATATACATACACACACACACACACACACACACACACACACACACACATACACGCACATATATATATACATATATATATAAAATATGAAAATAAAGACAGATAGATGTGTGTATTTGTATATATCTTTATTTTCACTAACCACTAACCAAAATTTAGCATTTCCTTCTACTATGAATGTAGTCAACAGAACATGATTCTGCAAAGGGGTCCATAGACTTCACCAAACTGCAAAACAGCTCCATGACACAAAAAGATTAAGAACCTCTCTTAAAGAGGGAACTGCGTCCAGTTATTGATTGTACTATGTGGCCTCTGATTAGCCTTCCAAACCTGATGTTTTGTGGTTCGATGACAAAATGGCCTCCAAGGTCCCAACCAGCTCTAAATCTATGGTGCTATGAGCCAATGTTAGGAGACTGAGTGTTCTAAAACCTCACTGCTCCTAGGTAAGCATGTCACTGATGAAATTGTTCTGATGCAATGGTGAAAACTACAGGTGGCACCTCAAAAGTTCTCAGCCAGCACCACTGTTTTCTCTCTCTTTGCCTCACTGACATTAGAAGCAGAAGTTCCTCCATATCCAAAGGTTCCTCTATATTTCTACCCTGGGCCACCACTTCTTACAAGGTATATCACTTCGGATTTCAGGGCTCTCAGAAATAAGGGTGTATGAAATAAGTCAATCAAAATTCTACTAGTGTTTGGCCTTCAAAAGGAAATGGTGGAATCCCATTCCAATGTTAGGGACTTCTTAAATTTACCATCCACATTCAAAGACCATGGCAAAAAAAGTTACCTGAGGAACACCTGAAAAGCTCTCCACAGCCATCTTCTGCTGGGCACCCCCTTGTAGGCACACACGCTTGTGTTTCAAAAGTAGCCCCAACACACGGCTGGCCACCATATTGCCCATAAACTGCTATGTGCCGCCTTCGAATCTGAAAGTAGAAGAACAGGATGCTTTTAAAATATGTCCCAATATTCCTTTTTTCTGGAGATTGAAACATGTAAGAAATAAATACAGTTTAAAAAAAAAGAAATAAATACAGTTGGAGATACAACTGGCCCAGCAATCAATCAGTCAACAGGCATTTATCAGGTGCTTACTTTGTGACAGGTGTTATGCCGGGCCCTGGTGATACAAAGAAGGCAAAAACAGACCCTACCTCCCAGGACTTTACAATCCAACAGGGAGAGCAATATGTAAATAACTAGGTGCAAACAAGATACAGACAAAGCAGACAGGTCAGCGAAGGGCTGTTGTCGATCTGAAAAAAGGAAGCACTGAAAATAATAATCCTGTTGTCCTAGACATATAGATCAAAGGGAACTTTTGGTCACACATTAACTACAGTGTCAGGAGCGAGAGCAGAATGCATCCAGCGAACCCTGTAGGATAAGCTGTGGAATGAGACAAAAAGGCTAGGCTTAAGACAATGGCCAAGAAAGCATGGCATCTTATAAGATGTGCGTTGAAAAGGAAGATGAGTATACAGGCATAGATCCTAGGATTGTGGGTTTGGTTCCAAACCACTGAACAAAACAAATATCACAATAAAGATAGTCACTCTTTTTTTGTTTCCCAGTGCATATGAAAGTTATGTTTACACTATACTGTAGTCTATTAAGTATGCAACAGTATTATGTTTTAAAAATGTACATAATTTAATTTTAAAACACTTTACTGCTAAAAAAGTGTTAATCATCATCTGAGCCTGTAGCAAGTCATAGTATTGTTGCTGGTGAATGGTCTTGCCTCAGTGTTGATGGCCCCTGACTAATCGGGGCAGTGGTTGTTGAAGGTTGGGGCATCTGTGGCAATTTCTTAAAATAAGACAACAATGAAGTTTGCCATATCAGTTGAGTCTCCCATTCACTTAAACACTTAAAGGCCATTGTAGGGATATTAATTGGCCTCGTCTTAATATTGCTGTGTCTCAAGGAATAAGGACGCCCAAGAAGAGGGAGATAGATTGGAATACAAGTCAGTGAAGCACTTGCATAAGCACATGCAACTTTTATTAAGTTCTCTGATATATATGGGCACAGTTTGTGTACCCCAAATCGACTGTATTAATAATATCAAAGATCACTGATCACAGATCACCATAACAGATATAATAATAATGAAAATGTTTGAAATATTGCAAGAATTACTAAAATGTGATGCAGAGACACAATGTAAGCAAGTGCTGTTGGAAAAATGGCCCCAATAGTGAAGGTAGAAAGTATAACCCAAAGATAAAGTGAAAAACAAAATTAAAGCTACTTGAGATAAAATTTTTTTTTAATTTTTAGGCAATTGTGACAGGTCACACAGCTAGCAAGTGTGTCAAGTGTTTAGTCTGAGGTCGGATTTGAACTCAGGTCCTCCTGACTTCAGGGTTGGTGTTCTATCCACTGCACCTCCTAGCTGCCTGCAGAGACAAATTTGTAAAGACAAAAGATAAAACAGTGGTATGAATAGGAAATATGTTAGCAGTAAAATGCTAAAATATTATTGGACTTTAAAATTAAAGGTAGGCCTATCAAGCCAAAGCAAGAACCTCTCATCTAAATCTTGATAATAATTGGGCAAAATAGTAGTTAAACCTTGTTGGCAGGCTAGCAAGGATCTAATGCTTCAAAGAAAAAAGAAAAGTTGCTCATGCCCCTTTCTTCCCAATGGCCAAGTAAACTGTGACCCTGTGAAGTAGATGTTATTATTATCTCCATTTTACAGATGAGCTGAGACTGAGAGAGTTTGAGTGACTTGCCCAGGGCCACACAGCTGGTAAGTGTCTGAGGTAGAATTTGATCTCAGGTCTTTCTAACTCTAAGTCTGGTGCTCTATCCAACGTGCCACCTAGGTGTCTGTAACAACAACTGAGGTAAGACATCCAGGAGAAACATTTGGGGAAGGATCAAGACAGGAGTGATCCCTCTAAGCATCGTGAGGATTCAAGAGAGGGAGCATAATGTGACCATGTAAATAATGTCCTGTATTCAGATGCTAGGGATACTTAAGTTATCTGTGAATGGCTGGCCCAAGCCCATGCAGGTTAGCTGGTACTTTGTAAGCTCAATGAAGCCTTTTGACAAACTTGTAGGCTCACAAGGCTAGAACTGGAAGGGACTTCAGAGCCTATCTAATCGAACCCCCTCATTTTACAGAGAAAGAAATGAATGCTGAGGCAGGTAAAGTGATTGTTCTGAGGCAATATAGGCAGTAAGCATCAGTAAGACCTAAACCCAGGTTCTCTGACTCCAGAGTCAGTATTCTTTTCACTGTACCACACTGCCTTCTTAAGAGAAGGGGAAAGGAATGGGAAGAGTGTATGCCAGGCACTATGGTCAGCACCTTTATAAATACTATCGCATTCATCCTCACCACAACTCTGTGAGGTAGGTGCTATTATATCCCCATTTTATAGTTGAGGAAACTGAGACAAAGGGAGGTTAAGTGACTTGCCCAGGGTCTCACATCCAGTAAGTGTCTAACCCTAGATTTTGACTCAGGTCTTCCTCTAGGCCCAACACTTATCCACTGTGCCACCTAGCTGCTTCCTTGGAATCCAGGCTGGTTCTAGGTTACTTCACAAACTCAGAGGCCCAAAATGGTGGAAGGTAATAACAAATGCACAAATAAACATAATTTTAGTTCTTATGTTCATTCTTCACAATCTGTGGAAATCTCAATAATTTCTAAATTTAATTCCACAGATATTTACGAACCACCTACCATGTAAATTACATTATGCTATGAAGCAGTCCATGCCCTCAGAGAGCCTACAGTCTCTTGGAGAGTTAACATCTGCACAAATAATCAAGTAATTTGAGGAGAGAACACCTACACTTGAGAAAACTAGGAAAGGCTTTGTGAAGTTAAGTGATAACTGATCTAAGCCCTAAAGGAAGCTAAAGAGTCTAAGAAGTGGAGATGAGAAAGGAATACCCTCATGGCATGGTGCCAGGAATGCACCCAGCCTGGGCAAAGGTATAAGGAATGTAGAAAAACTCTGAGTTCATTCCTAACTGTGTCAATCCAAAACTTTTTCTACCTGGTAACTTTGGGGACATGTCTTTCTACTTCCTCTAACTCTGTCCCCCATTGAAATAATTCAGTTTTCATTGTGCTACTTTTGATGGATTTTTTTAAATGTTGGGTTTCCTCATAACCTTGTCTTCACGATATCTTAATTTCATGATGTTTTTGCTAGTTTTATTTCTTCCTCTAATTTTTTTAGTGTGATTGAATAGACCCTACAATTTCATTGATATAGACAATTCTTAAGGAAGGAGTATTTATCATCCATTTTATTATGTCTGAGAAAATTCTGGTTTCATTTCTGGTGTTTCTTAGAGTGTTATATTCTTCTGGTTTTTGTTGTCTTTTTGCTTCTGTTTCTGATCTATAATGTGCCCTCATTGTGTCAGAACTCTTATTTGTTCATTTCTTTGAGTAGTTTTTTTTTCCTCTTAAAGCCATTTGTGCTTTTTGGTATTACTATTGCTATTCTTGAGGGGATTATTGAAGATCATGGCTCCCTCAGAATCCCTCTATCCATCTTCCTAGGAGGCCATTCCATTCTTCTTCAAGTAAGAAGTAGCTTCCTAATACCAAGAGTTCACTTCACAGGTGAATGAATTTATACTTTACCAGCCCTTGTACTGGGCATCAGTATCTCAAATCTTGGTACCTATGGGAAGGCAAGACTGAGTAACGTGTACATGACTGGCAAGGGGAAAAGACAATCCAATGTCTTTTTTCTACTATAGCACCAACTTTAAGAAATACCATAGTTGGTGATATGAAAGGATTAATTTTTCTTTTTTTGAGATTTTTAAATATAATGTCTACCACCCCACATGGGCAATGGTTCACCTTATTTCTTGTCTCACCTTCTCACTCCTTTATCACTATTTCTCCTTTGTTTCTTTCTCAGGAATCTCCTTTCCTCACTGTAATTCATTCTTGCCTCTTCCCTTCCCTTTTACTTTTTTTAGCTCTCTCTTCTTTATTACAAAAGTTCAACTCTACATTCTCCTTTCAGTGCAGCCTTCCTCTGAGCCTGGAGTCAGGAAGACCAGAGTTCAAATGCAGCAGTAGACACTTACTAATTATGTGATCTCACACAAATTACTTAACCTCTCTCTTTCTCAGTTTCCTCAGCTGTAAAATAGGGATAATAATAACATCTCCTCCCAGGGTTGTTGTGAGGATCAAATGATACAATATTTGTAAAGCACAGTGCCTAATAAATGTTTGTTTCCTTCCTTCCTTCAAGTCCCTTGACCATTTTCCTATTGTCATCCTTGCCCTGTCAAACCTCAGCCTTCAATTATTCCCACCATCCTCTTCTTTTACCCCTATTCATGTGCTGCTAAACAAAGCTGGAGAAAATCATGAAACTGATTGGGTCTAGTACAAATTTATGTTACATAATCTCAATTGGGTCTTCACTGGCTCAAGGAAATCCTTGTACACCTCCCTAATAGATTCACTATCCCACTCACCACAGTGGCTTTTACAAACTTTTTCATAACTGTTCTCCCCACCTGGGGAATCAAGCTGAAAAACTTGCCTCATATTCCATTGAAAAAAAATGAGGCCATTCACAGACCTCCTCCTCATCTCACATCACTGAGATGCCATCCACCACTACTTCCTCCTTCATTTCTGTCTCACATGAAAAAGTATCCCTTCTCCTTGTCTGAAAATCCCATTCCATACCATCTTCTCCAGCAGTTTGCTACCTCTATCATCCACATTCTCTGACTCATCTTCAACATCTCCCCATCTACTGGCTGCTTAATTCTTGCCTACAAATATGCCCATGTTTCCCCCATCCTCAAAAAGCTTTCATTTCCACCCATGTCTACTAGCTATTTTCTTATATCTCTCGTCCTTTTGTGGCTTAACTCTTTGAGAAGGCTTTCTATAATACGTGTCTTCACTTCCTTTCCTCTCTTTCTAATCTTAACTTTCTGAAGTCTGGCTTCTAACTTTATCATTTAATTGAAGCTGTTCTCTCTAGAATTATCAATGATCTCTTAATTGCCAAATCTAATGGCCTTTCCTTAACCCTTCTTGACCTCTGTGCAGCCACTGACATTGTCAATCACCTTCTTCTCCTTTATAGTCTCTTGTTTCTAAGTTTTCATAATTCCACTCTCTCTAGCTCTCCTTCTCCCTGTTGGGCCACTACTTCTCAATTTCCTTTACCAAATCTTCATCCAGGCCATTCACTCTATCAGTGTCCAACAAGGCTCTGCCCTGGGCCCCTTTCTCTTCTTCTTCTATATTATTTCACTTCTCATCAGTTACCATGGATTCAATTGTCATCTCTATGTTGATATTTCTCAGATCTACTTATCCAGCCCTAACCTCTCTCCTGATCTCCAGTCTTACATTTTCAACTGCCCATTGAACATCTGGAAATGATTGTCCCATAGACATCTTAAACACAACATGTCCAATACTAAACTCATAAACTTTCCCCCAAGCCCTCCCCTTTTCTCTAACTTTCCCATTACTGTAGAGAATAACACTATCTTCCCAATCACCCATGCACAAAATCTCAGTATCATCATCTTTAAGTCCTCATCTTACACATCCAATGTGTTGCCAAGTCTTCTCATTTCTACTTTCACAACTTCTTTTTCTTTGTTCACACAGCTGTCACCCTGGGCACGTCCTTATCACCTCATGCCTGGACTATTGAAATAACTTGATGGTTAATCTTTCTTCCTGTAGTCTCTAACCACTACAATCCACTCCACTAACCTGCCAAAGTAATCTTCCTAAAGCACAAGTATGGCTATGTCACCCTCCTTGACCCCTTATTCAAAAAACTCCAATAGCTCCCCATTATTTCCAGTATCAACTATAAAATTCTGCTTTTTATTCAAGGCCCTTTATAACCTGGCCCCTTCCTGCCTTTCTAGTCTTCTTATACCTTATTACTCCACCCTCCACTCTCACACAATATATACTGCAATCCAGAGACACTAGCCTCCTTGTGTTACTCACACAAGACACCACATCTCCCAGCTCCATGTATCTCACTGGCTGTCTTCTCCTCACCTCTTCCCTCACATGTTTGGAATTCTCCCTCCTCCACTCCATGTCCTCTGGCTTTTTAAGTCTCAGTTAAAGTCTCACCTTCTATGAGAAGCCTTTCCCATCCCCCTCAACGCTAATGCCATTCCTCTGTTGATTATCTTCAATTTATCCTGGCTATATTTTGTTTGTACATAGCTGTTTGTATGTTTTCTCCCCCATTAGACTGTGAGATCCTTAAAGGCAGGAGTTCCTGCCTTTCTCCCCCATTGATGAGTACAGTCCCTGACATATAATAAATGTTTAATAAATACTTGTTGACTGACTGAATGTCAAAAGAAATCATTTTTGACATCCAATAAGCCCTCTAGGTCCTGATTTTGGTTTCCTCCTCAATCTTTTTTGTGACTATAAATATTTAAATGTGTTTTTTATTTTATTTTCAGTGTCCCATGTGTCTCAGTATTTCATTTGCTTGCCTTCAGTCAAAGAATCATTGAATTTTAACATTGGGAGAGACCTCACTGGTTATCTTATCCAACTCTCTCCTGTCTGTGTCTTCAGTTCTGTGCTTCTAAAAGTCAGACTCTCAAGCCATTTTTCTTGCTCTTTGTACAACACAGTTACATAGGTGTTGAGTAAATAAATGATGATCATGATTATCATGATAGTGATTATAAGCATAATGTTAATGGTAGTGTCTTTAAAAACAAAATAAAAAAACTTAACAGTCTTGAAAAGCATTCTTCAATCTCAAAGTAGACTCCAATATTAACATCCCGACAACATTCTTAAGCCAGGCTTCCTCTCACTATGGGAATTTACATGATGATATAATACATTTCTCAATATTATTTCTAGCCACTGACCCAAGAGCTGATTAAAAAGTCTGGAATTAATTCCCAGAGCTCCCCTTTCTCATCTACATGTATATTAAATTCCTTTTCCAGTTCAATGAGAGCAAGGAAACAGGGAAGATAGTTGGTACAATCAATTCTAAATTACTTAGGCATCGATTATCCAGTTTGTGAAAACTCATGCCCTTTGCTTCACTGTTGGCCTTTTGGTTATTTCATTATTGACAAAAAAAAACCAGCACCTCTACATTACAAAGTAAAACAGAAAAAATACAAGAAGTTCAAATTGGTCAATCGTTAATTTAAATTTTTCATGATCTCTCTATTCCTTAATATTACCAATAATTGTAAAGGGGCTCCATGATCCCCCTTTGCATATTGGCCCCCTCTAATATCCATCTTAAGAAGCCCTTACAACAAATATGTAAAAGGAACACACCCCAGTTTCCCTGAACTAGTTATCACAATGATCACTTGGTTCTCCTCCGCCTTCAAAATGTACATCTGCTTTTGTTCATGAATAAAAAAAAAAAAAGCCACTACTCTCAGGAAAGTAAAAACACACAAAGGATTAAAAAGTTGATACTGCTTGACCTAATTTTCACAAGTGACATTCAGCACATGCATAAATAAAAACATGATGAAGTCCTACCTGAGTCTTTGTGCAGCCATCACATTCTGACCAGGAACCATAGGGATGCCAAAGGCAATTAACCACTTGGAAAGGACTGCCACATATGCAATCATCGATTACAATATTAATGGAAAGGAAAAAATTGTCAAAAACCTGAGCATTCTTAATTAACATAGAACCTAGGCATAGACACTCAGAGTTAAATGGAAACTTTGATGTCTTCTGGTCCAATCCCTTTCTACAGATGAGCAAACTGAAGCATAAAGTGAATGAATGACTTCACCAATATCACAGAGCTAATTAGGGACAGAGCTAAGACTTAACCCAAGTATCTTGATTCCTAGTTCAGACATACCCTGGTTCAGGGCATGCAAAACTTTCAGGGAAAAATAATGGCTAGATTGTCTGAGATACCTCTAGAATATAGAAGTTACAGAGACAAGAAGATCTAATAATTCCCTGAATTAACTGGACAAGGCTGAAGAATTGAGGGAGAGAGGAATGGTTGTGATAAGGAAAGGTTGTGACAAGAAAAGGAATGCTTTTTGAAATGTTCTACCTGTTCATGAAAAAAATGTACAAAGACTAGAAAAGTTACTATGACCATTTTTATAGTTCATATCTACTTATGGACAGATTTTGAAAATTATAGTAGCCAGATTAATACATTTATTAAGTATTTTTATCTTTGTTAAAATATTTACCCCCCTATGTATGTATAGCATTCACTTATGAGGTTGAGATACCACAAAGTCATCTGGTTTGAGATGCCCAAAAGGAAATTAGTGATTCAGGACTTGATCTTAGGAGAGAGATTAGTACTATATATGTGTGTGTGTGTATATGTATGTATGTATACTTGTATATGTAGATATGTGTATATGTATATGTATGGAAATAGATAGATAGATAGATAGATAGATAGATAGATAGATAGATAGATAGATAGATAGATAGATAGACAGACAGATAGATCTGGTAATCATCTACATAGAGATGATCATTCAGTCAGGTAAGCTGATGAAATTAGTGGGAATGATCTGGGTGAAGATCCAGCAAAAGATAAAGGAGCAGATAGGAGGAAGACCAGGAGAGAGTAATGTCTTGAAAACCTAGTAAGAAAAGAATACACAGGAGGAGAAGGTGACCAATATTGTTAAATGCTCAAAGAAAAATGAGGATTAAGAAAACACCATTGGAGTTGGCAAAAGCACTTTAATGCGAATCTTCTTTGAGGTGTGTTGTTTTTTCCCCCCACTAATGTTGCATAAATTTAAGTTTCCTGAGGACAAGTATGGCATCTATCTTTAGATCACCAGTTCCTGGCACAATGTTTTGAATATAGTAGGTATTCAACATACCTAATTAATTTAACATTAACATTTGACATGAATTAAATTCAAGTGAAGTAATCCTAATCCCCTCTGTATATGATCCATCTATAACTCGACTGACCAGTCAGAACCATAGACCAGGGTTGGGAACAGATAAATTATTATGATTGACTGCCCTGAGTCGAAAGCTTTGGCTTTTCTACCTCCTCAAATAATGATTAGTTAGAGCCAAAGTGAGAATGAGAGAAAAGAAAAAGGGGTGATCCTATGTTCCCTCATCCCTGAACAATCAACCAAATCCCCTGGTAAGAGCAATGGGGCTCTAGAACCTGGACACTCAAGTAATTCCTTCTTTCTTCTTCATATGCACCTCTCAGGACATCTAATACTCTTTTGTATCATTTCCCTTCATTCTTTGCTTCTTCAAGACTACCCTAGATCTTCCTTTTAAGATATATAAAAGTATTGGAAAGGGGTCCTATAACATGTGATTAATTTCAGGGTTCAGAATCTTCACTTGTAGCAATAAAGTTAATTGGAATATACAAGGTGACTGCCCTCTGTGATCTAGGGCATGTTCAGTTTTCTCATTTGGACACAACCTCAGATTTGGCCAAAGTCAGAAGAGGCAGAGAGAATTGGGGAGGGAACTGATCTTATGGATTCTCAGCTTTTGCTCTTGATCTTGACATGGCAAGTAGGTTGATGGAAAGAAGAAGGAAGTCATATGGGAGATGCTGAAGAAGAGCCACCAGGGATAGCTATTACAAGATCTTCCTACCAGCCTGCTTCCCAGATCAGGGAACTTGGGAGGAACTTGGAAATCTGTGTAGCTGAAGGTGCAGTAGACCAGTTTCTCCCCTTTTTGTCTCTCTGCCCCTTCCATGTATGGCCAAAGCCAGGGCTACTTTTAAATGAGAAAGATGAACTGGATGATTAATTAAACCTGTGGTGCTATTTAATTAGAAAAAGACTCCACTAAACTGTATATAAGAAGTCCCTGTAAGCTATATATTAACTTTGAAAACTACATATCAACACATCTATGTTCTATTGTATTATTATCTATTTTGTTAGCTATTTCCCAATTACATTTTAAACTAGTTCTCCCACACACACTTGGGAGTGTTGCCCAATGCATACTGCATGCTAGTACTTGACACCTCTGACTTAGATCCCTTAAAGCTCTACAATTTAAACAGAGATAGAGTGACTTGTCCTAGTTAACACAGGTAGTAGCAAGGAAATGAGACAGGTTAGGGGCTTGCTAGGTAATGAGAAAAAGCCAATCTGAGACTTAAAATCTACCATAGAGAAAAGTCACAAAGTTATCCAAAATTAAGCCTATGCACATAAATAATTATATTAATTCCATCTTTTACACAATAGCCTTTCAAGTCTTACTATGAGCAATATAGTCATAAGAGATCATCAGAGGGGTATTGTTAAATAGACTAAAGATACTAAAAGAAAGTGCTTACCTTCGTGCTCTCATCAAGTAAATAATGGAACCAGGACCCATGACTTCCTGGATAATGTAAAATTAATGAGGTGGGGATGGGCCCTGGCAAGGGTCAATCCTCAGTATATTTGTGTAATCAGTACTTTTTCTTGTGGAACTAGTAAATTATATATATATACATATATATATATATATATATGTATATATATATATATATATATATATACACACACACATGCATATGCACACACAGACACATATGTATATGCATATATATACACATATATATTACCCTCTTTCCCTATTCTCACCTGGAAAAAACTTGAAAATTTTCCATCAACACCACTAAAATGAACATTAACACCTGGAAAAGAAAAACAGAAAAGAGTTTCATGTTACTTTATATTTCATTAATTTGCAGTAACCAGTTGAAACTTCCCCAAAAGCTAAAACCTCCATTCCAAAATTGTCATGGCAGAGCTCTGAAAAGTATGCCAGCAAAGCCCAAGCTCTCTCAGGGCTTAGAATCTTCTCACTCTGGAACACGTCATGTTGGCCTTTTGACCCCACTCATGAGTTCCTTTTGAGGTCTCCATTTTGGGGACAGATTCAGGGCAGCCATGTTTCATTCCCCTCCCAACTGTGCTTCTGAATCTCAGGACTTCCTGGCCACATCCCAGCTGTACCTTTTCTTTGCCCCCATCTCAGCTTTTTAGCTCATTTTTATGTATTCTCTTGGAGCCGGCTAGGTGGTGCCATAGTGCATAGAATGCCAGGCCTTAAGTCAGGAAAACTATCTTCCTGAGTTTAAATTTGGCCTCAGATACTTGCTAGCTGCATGATCCTGGGCAAGTCACTTAACCCTGTTTGCCTCAGTTTCCTTATCTGTAAAGTGAGCTGGGGAAGGAAATGGCAAACCACTCTAGTATCTTTGCCAAGAAAACTCCAAATGGGGTCACGAAGAGTCAGACATGACTGAAATGATTAAACAACAACTGTCAACAACATATGTTCTCTCACTTCCCTAAAGTGTAAACTCCTTGAGGACAGAGACTGGATTTCTTTCTGTTTGTACTGCATTTGTATTCCCATCATCTAGTACAGCACACAGTAAACAATTAATAAGTTTTTGTTACTTGCCTATCTACCTCTGGCTGAAGAGACCCAAGGAGATGTTGTAAGACTACTATCTAAGGACCAACTTGATCACGTCAGAGAGGCTTATCACCAGAGGGCTGGCCAGCACGTGAAGTATATACATATATGTGTGCATATATATCACATATATATTATACACATATTTATTATATATCACATAATAAAGACAGATAGATAGATAGATAGATAGATAGATAGATAGATAGATAGATAGATAGATAGATAGATAGATATTGGCCATAGTAATTCATAACACTTTCTATTGTAGGCATGGAAATAATCAAATTCTGCATTGACAAGGGAATACCTACAAGGAGGAAATCTTCGAAGTATAAGTCTAAGTCTGATTCATTTCAGTTTTCTAAATATTGTCTCCAATTTCAGTTCCTATCATGTTCCAGACTAGGATTCATTGACTCACTCATCCAATCAATCAACAACCATTATCAGACTACTAGGTGCCCCAAACTGCTAGGTACTAGAAATATTTAAAAAATGGTCTCTGTACTCAAGGAGATTATAGTTTATAGAGAATTCTCTTCAGGGAGATATTTAAATTTATCTATTTAAATAAGTTGAGTTCAGAATCAATAGTGGGCTTTTTTTTATTCCAAACTTAAACATCAAATAAAATTAGCATTTCTATATGCACAGTATAACAGAAGAAGAGGATTCCCATAAAACCGTGGATCATTATATAGCTTCATATAGCTATATTTTCTTTTAAATACATATTTATACAAATAAATTCAACGTGTAACTTTCAAAGCTGTCCTACTATTCTGTGATTCTCTCTTGCCTTTCTTCTATTTTCTTATTTCTAAAAAGATGCCAATGACCCTCTTTTCCTTCTTTTTTTCTTTTGTTATACTTTATTTCTATTCTATTTTCTGTCCTGTATCCCCTCATAGGAAGAAGAAAAAAGAAAGAAAAAGTCCCTGTAATAAATATACATAGACAAGCAATTCCTGCACTAATCATGCTCATTCTGCATCATGTGTCCCTCACCACTTGGGCAGTAGGTAGGTTGCTTATTTCTTCATCAATCCTCTGGAATATTTGTGAGTCAGTGTCTTGATCAGAGTTCTTAAGTCTTTCAAAGAACTTATGACTTCTAAAGCACTCTTAGTGGTTACCAACCCATATTTCCTTCCTCTCTCTCTTCATAGATTCTTAGAGTTGGAAATGACTCCAGAAGTCATCAAGCCCAACCTATAGCTGAACAGGTATGCCTTTCCTGTTCTTTTAACTGAATAGTTTCCCTTTAGGGATGATTTCATTGACAAATTAAAGGTATACATATCTTACCTTCATGTTTGGAAAAAAAATTCACAGTTTCTGCAGAGAAGGGATGAAATTTACCTCCTGGGAGAGTCAAATTGGGGCTATTCAAGAGCTGGGAAGAGTCAGTCAGTCTGCCTCCTTCACTGTCTCTGCCTGGCTGTTGTTTTACTTAGCACTCACTCACATATAAAGTGAATGATCCTGAGGACTTTAACTCTTAACCTATCTGGATTCTTCAGAGACACAAACAATCTGCCCTTGCACTGATCCCATGTCTTGAAGCCAGATACATCTTATCCTTTAAACAAGTCTTGGCTGTAGCCAGCTGGGGCTGCCTGGAACTGTTATTCTGAGAAATGGTATTTGTCGATCAGGAAGGACAGCAAGCGTTCCCAGTGCCTTAAGTGCTTTCCAAGGGAGGAGATGTCATGTAAGCCAAGGGTTGAGTCTCCTCTCCCTTCCCATGGATAAAAGCTGCTAAATGGCACAACTGTTGGGGGAAGGGTTTAAAAGGTATTAATAACACCAGAGTTTGCTATTAAACACTATACGGGACAGGAGGTAGGATGAAGATGCAAATACGGGTTTCTTTCTCTACAAAATACAAAGGAAACAAATCATTATGCAGAGACTAGTCAAGTATCATGGCTGCCAGGCAACTCACAACATCTTTAGAAAAACAATTACAAGACCCCAAAGCTAATTAGGGCAAGCTGTCTGGGAAAATCATGTTGAATGTGAAGTTTTGTACTAGGAGTCCACTCCTCTTCCCTTCCACTATTTATTTCCACTCAGTAATCCCCATTAGTTTCGACCTCCTCTTCCAAAGATCCTTCTGCTTGTCCTGCAGTCACACCACATTCTCACACCCTACACTGTACCTCCAGCATGCATAGCTACCAAAGACCCAAGTTCTGGACACCAAAGTCCATGGCACTGTCAAATGATTCAAGATAAGAAACAAATTAGATTTTTTCAGTGGGAATGACATTAAAGAAGATATATTACTATCTGCTTTTGCTCCTAAATAAAAAAGACCATAAGGCCTTTCCAGCTGACATGCTACTGAAAACCCATATATATGCTGCCTAAACAGAGGTTAAACATCCCAAGGTAGAAATGGAATAGGTCAGATTTCCATGCCAGTCAGAAGTAGGATTGGGACCATGAGTGGCCACTGTACTTTGAGCCTAACTCGGTGAGACAGAGAAAGCTAATCTCAAAAAAAAAAAATGAAAAAAAAGAATGCTGTCTGATTACAATGCCCATGATTTGGGGCAAAGGAAGAGATAAGAAATGCACCTTCTTCCTTTCCTTTCAGAAGTTAAAGAACTAAGAGCAGTGATTTGAGATTGGAGCTCAGGAAAGAGAATAGAGCTCAGAAGAGAGACCAAGACTGAATTCACAGACTTTTGTCATCTGAATAAGAACGATATTTTAATTGAATTTTATTATTTTCAATTAATAGGCATTTATTCTCTTTCCCTCCCACCTCCTGTCCCTATCCCTGGTATAGAAATATCTTTATGGATAGTCAAGCAAAACAAATTCCCACATTGATCATATCTTGAAATATGTGTCTTAGTTGGAATATTTTGCCCATTATCTTTCTGTCAAGAGTTGAGTAGTGTTCTTTATCATCTGTCCTCTGGAATCATGGTTGGTCTTTGTATTGTTCTTTCTTTTGCAATAATTCAATTTTATTTTATTTTTAGTTCCAAATTCTTTCCCTTTCTTTTCCTCCTCTACCATCCATTGAAAAGGCCGAAAAGAAAAAGCTATTCATTACAAATATGAATAGTCATGCAAAACAAATTCCTACATTAGCTATGTCAAGAAAGAAAGAAAGAAAGAAAGAAAGAAAGAAAGAAAGAAAGAAAGAAAGAAAGAAAGAAAGAGAAGGAAGAAAATATTCTTCAATCTTCATTGTGAGTCAATCAGCTCTCTATCTGGAGGTGGGTAGCATGTTTCATCATGAATCCTTTGGAATTATGGTTGGTCATTGTGTTAATCAGAGTTTCTGGGGACAGCTAGGTGGCGCAGTAGATAGAGCACTGGTCCTGGATTCAGAAGGACCTGAGTTCAAATGTGGCCTCAGACACATAACACTTACTAGCTGTGTGACCCTGGGCAAGTCACTTAACCCCATTGCCTAGCAAAAAGAATAGAAAAGGGGAAAAAAAGAGTCAGAGTTTCTATGTCTTTCAGAAATGATTATCTTTACAATATTATTGATACTATATAGATTGTTCTCCTCGTTCTACTCACTTTGCTTGGTAACAATTTGTACAATTATTCCCAGGTTTCTTTGAAAACCATTATCTTCATCATTTCTTATAGCATAATAGTATTCCATCATATTCATATACAATAACTTATTCAACCATTTCCCAACTGATAGGCATCCCTTAGTTTCCAAGTCTTTGTCACTACAAAAAAAAAAGCTGCTATAAATGTTTCATACACACACACACACACACACACACACACACACACACATACATATGGGTCCTTTTTCTTCTCATTTAATCTTTTTGAAGTATAGACTTAGTACTGCTTTCCGGAATGGTTTTACTAGTTCACAGCTCCACCAATAATGCATTAGTGTATCTGTTTTCCCATTTGCTCTCCAGCATTAGTGTTGTTCTTTTTTTGTCATCATAGATAATTTGATATGTGTGAGGTTATCTCTCAGAATTTTTTAAAATGTGCATGTCTCTAATCATAAGTAACTTAGATAATTTTTTCATATAGCTAAATTATAGCTTGGATTTTTTCTCTGTAAATTGCCTATTCGTATCTTTGACCATTCTTCAGCTACGAAATGGCTCTTATTCTTATAACTTTTACTCAGTTTCCTAAATATCTTAGAAATGAGACCTTTTTCAGATAAACTTTCTGTCAATGTTTTTCCCAGTTTCCTGCTTTTCTTCTAATTTTCGCTGCATTGTTTTTGATTGGTGCAAAAAGTTTTTAATTTTAGGTAATCAAAATTGTCAATTTTGCCTCCTGTGAACCAACTCTTGTTGATGATGAGCTCTTCTGCTATCCCCATAAATCTGACAAGTAATTTCTTGCATGCTCCATTAATTTGCCTATGATGTCACCCTTTATATCTCAAGTTATATATCTATTTGGAGCTTATCTTGGTATATTGTTCAAATGATATTTATACCCATTTTCTGCCAAACTTCTCAGTTTTCCCAAAAGTTTTTGTTATATAATGAGTTCATACCCAGTACCCAGTACTTCTTTGGGCTTATTAATCTCTAGGCCTCTGGGTTCATTTGCTTCTGTATGCTGCATACCTAACCTGTTCCACTGATTAACCTTTCTATTTTTTTAACCAGTACAAAATAGTTTTAATGATTACTGCTTTGGAGTATAGTTTGCTATCAGGTACTGCTATGCCCTTTTCGATCCCATTTTTTTTCACCAGTTTCTTTGATATTCTTGATCTTTTATTCTTCCAGATAAACTTTATTATTTTTATAGCTATGTAAAGTAGTTCTTTGGTAGTTTGATTAGTATGGCACTGAAAAAGTAAAATAATTTAGGTGGGATTACCATTTTTAACATAATGGCTTGGCCTACCATGAGCAATTAATATTTCTCTAATTATTTAGATCTGCCTTTATTTGCATAAAGATATAATAGGGGGGTAGTGAGTTCCCCTTCGTTAGAGGTTCACAGGAGAAAGCTAGATGACCCCCAGTCGGGGATGCTACAGAGAGCATTCTCAATCAGGTACAGGGTACACTAAGTGGCCTCTGAATTCCCATCTGATTCTGCAACCATGAAGATTTACAGAAAGATATAGACAAGAATTATACAGAAGGAAAGAGAGGAAGAAAGGGGAGGGGAGGAGAAGAGAGGAGGAAAAAGGACAAAAGAGAAAAGACAGAAAGAGAAATGGAAGAGGTGCATATAATAGGAAGTATTAGCAAGCCACTAATGAATTGCTCTAAGGCCACAAACGTTGTCCACCCTGGTCTAGTAGAAGTTCAGGAAAAAATTGTGGCATTTGACCCTTATCTGTCTATAGTCTATAAAAAAGCAAACTATAATTGAATATGGTCCTCATACACACAACTGTGATTGAGATGAGAGGTAGCCAGATAAAAATTATATACGAAACTGCCAAGGCAGAAGGCCCAAGGAAGCTTTAGGTAAATGGAAGACAGTGTTAGTGATGAGAAGGGTCATGAGATGCACAAGTCTTCAATAGTAAGTGACTGTTGCTATTGCTATTTCTGACTCCATTCCTCCCAAGGACTTCCTGCCATGTCTGATGGTCTGTGCCTATTCTGGCATCAAAGTCACCCAGAATTGCAAACTTGTCCTCTTTCAGCACTTTGAGGGTGAGGGTCTCCAATTTTTCACAAATTTTTTCTTTGAGCACATCAGGGCTCATCATGGTGGGAGCATATGCACTGGTGGTGGTGGCATGGACCTCTCCTGTAAGTGGCAATTGCATTGTCATGAGTCCTTTTGTTAGGCATACAAGCTTATTGAATAGCTTAGTCTTGATTGCGAAACTCATACCAACTTCACAACATTCTCCTTCACTGCAGCTATTCCCCAAAAATGTGTATTTAGCTGTGGCTTTGTTAAGCTGGTCTTCATTTGCCACCCTTATTTCATTCAGGGCTGCTATTTGGATACAATACCTGCTGAGTTTTCTTGCAGCAAGAACTGTTCGTCTTTTGAGGCTACTGGATTTCATGTTGTCCATAAGCTTGTATACATTCCATGTACTAATGGTCAGTGGAATCATCCTTGCAAAAACTTTCATATCTTTTTTTGTGTTTTGACTATAGGGTGGTATCCCCACCTGCCACAGTAAGCAGGCCAGGATTGGGTGAAGAAGATAACTTTTAGGGCACCTTTTTTAACCCCTTCCTCACACTAGGAGATTAGCAGTGTAGTCCTTTAGAAAGGCTCAGACTCCTAGGGGGCTGTCAAATCCCACTGTGAGATGACCTGCTTGGTATAGACCTCCCCCTAACTCACTAACAGGTTTGAGACACTTGCCTTCAGCCTGGTTTAGCCTGTCTGCCGAAATTTTACTGGGGTGTGGCCACTGTGCATGTGACAGCTTCTTGGAGCCACAGGTTAGAATTGGGTGAAATCAGGTAGACACCAAAGGTGAAAAGCAGCCCTGAAAAGCTCAGCAGCCATCAAACCAGAGTCTTCCCTGAACGTACCTTACACCCCAGTAAAACTATTACAACCAAAGGAAAGTGTGTGAAGAGTATACAAAGGGAGAAAAGACTTCCAGGCCTAGTGGTACCAGAAATTGTGAGTTA